GAATCTCTCATGTGTTTCTCTCATTAGTCTCTCTCTCATTAGTCTCTCTCTCATGAGTCTCTCTCATGAGTTTCTCTCATCAGTCTCTCTCATGAGTCTCTCTCATTAGTCTCTCTCATCAGTCTCTCTCATTAGTCTCTCTCATGAATCTCTCTCATGAGTCTCTCTCATGAGTCTCTCTCATGAGTCTCTCTCATTAGTCTCTCTCATTAGTCTCTCTCATGAGTCTCTCTCATTAGTCTCTCTCATGAATCTCTCTCATGAGTCTCTCTCATGAGTTTCTCTCATCAGTCTCTCTCATGAGTCTCTCTCATTAGTCTCTCTCATCAGTCTCTCTCATTAGTCTCTCATGAGTCTCTCTCATGAGTCTCTCTCATGAGTCTCTCTCATTAGTCTCTCTCGTCAGTCTCTCTCATTAGTCTCTCTCATGAATCTCTCTCATGAGTCTCTCTCATGAGTCTCTCTCATGAGTCTCTCTCATTAGTCTCTCTCATGAGTCTCTCTCATGAGTATCTCTCATGAGTCTCTCTCATCAGTCTCTCTCATGAGTCTCTCTCATTAGTCTCTCTCATGAGTCTCTCTCATTAGTCTCCCTCCTTAGTCTCTCTCATTAGTCTCTCTCATGAGTCTCTCTCATTAGTCTCCCTCCTTAGTCTCTCTCATTAGTCTCTCTCATGAGTCTCTCTCATTAGTCTCCCTCCTTAGTCTCTCTCATTAGTCTCTCTCATGAGTCTCTCTCGTGAGTCTCTCTCATTAGTCTCCCTCCTTAGTCTCTCTCATTAGTCTCTCTCATGAGTCTCTCTCGTGAGTCTCTCTCATTAGTCTCTCTCATGAGTCTCTCTCATTAGTCCGGTGGGGTTTCTCTCCTCAGATCGCTTCCTGAAGCTGAAGTCCATGACTGAGTCCAGGGACAGAGACACCACTGCCTTCATGAGCCACGTTCTAACACACAGCAACACAACTCAGGTTAGAGCACACACACACACAGCAACACAACTCAGGTGAGAGGAACACACAGCAACACAACTCAGGTTAGAGCACACACACACACAGCAACACAACTCAGGTGAGAGGAACACACAGCAACACAACTCAGGTGAGAGCAACACACAGCAACACAACTCAGGTTAGAGCAACACACATCAACACAACTCAGGTGAGAGCAACGCACAGCAACACAACTCAGGTTAGAGCAACACACAGCAACACAACTCAGGTTAGAGCACACACACACACACACAGCAACACAACTCAGGTTAGAGCACACACACACACAGCAACACAACTCAGGTTAGAGCACACACACACACAGCAACACAGCTCAGGTTAGAGCACACACACACACTCACATACACACACAGCAACACAACTCAGGTGAGAGCACACACAAACACACAGCAACACAACTCAGGCTAGACCAACACACAGCAACACAACTCAGGTTAGAGCAACACAACTCAGGTGAGAGCAACACACAGCAACACAACTCAGGTTAGAGCAACACACAGCAACACAACTCAGGTGAGAGCAACGCACAGCAACACAACTCAGGTTAGAGCAACGCACAGCAACACAACTCAGGTTAGAGCAACACACAGCAACACAACTCAGGTTAGAGCACACACACACACAGCAACACAACTCAGGTGAGAGCACACACACACACACAGCAACACAACTCAGGTTAGAGCAACACACAGCAACACAACTCAGGTTAGAGCAACACACAGCAACACAACTCAGGTTAGAGCAACACACAGCAACACAACTCAGGTTAGGGCACACACACACACACACAGCAACACAACTCAGGTTAGAGCAACACACAGAAACACTGCTACTGTTACTACTACTACTAATACTGCTGTCCTTGCCCCATGGTGTGTCCTTCATGGTACCTATTCTTGCCCCAAGGTACCTGTGCTCTTCATGGTACCTATGCTCTCCCTCAGGTGGGGGCCCTCTCCAGTCTGGCCGAGGCCTCGGTCCAGCTCCACTCGTGTGTCCAGGCTCTGCAGGAGACCGAGGAGGCGGGACTTGAGCCTGTGGACATGCTGTCAATCATACAGCTGCTGTCCCAGGCTGCTGATGTCGCCGTGGAGACAGACACCGCTGCAGCCAATCAGAGCGAGGGGCGGGTCCAGAGGCTCGGCCAGGACTTCCTCAGTGTGGCAGATAGTGTGATGAGCCAGGACAACGCACACAAGTGGCAGGCCATCAAAGAGGTACTACTGAGACCAGAGCGAGACCGGAGAGAGACCAGAGACCAGAGAGAGACCAGAGAGAGACCAGAGACCAGAGAGAGACCAGAGAGAGACCAGAGAGAGAGACCAGAGAGAGAGACCAGAGAGAGAGACCAGAGAGAGACCAGAGAGAGTCCAGAGAGAGACCAGAGAGAGACCAGAGAGAGAGACCAGAGAGAGAGACCAGAGAGAGAGACCAGAGAGAGACCAGAGAGCGCCTGTTGTAACACATGATACAACAGGTGGTAAAACTGAAATGCATCTTCAGCCACACATAAATCACAGTACAGATCCTCTTCTGTGACTTCCTTGCGACGCCCTCTTCCACCTCTGGGGGCAGCGGTGGAACGATGCAATGCAATTGTGTTGGGAATTGCACATTTGTTTTGGGAGCAGTGTTTTTGCACAAAGACCTGTAGAGAGGTACAGACAGTTCCATGCATCACCACCAGAGGGCAGTGTGTTTCAAGATAAGGTCCTGGGCACTCATCATGATGTCTTTTATGCACATTTATCACTACAGATAATCTTTTCTTTTCATTGGACAAAAGTGCTTTACATTCATCTCATGTTCCCGTACCCTCGTAAAGACCGCTTCAAACACTTGAGAACATGTCGTAACCTCAATCAGCACACTCTGCATTCTCACGACTGTGTTTGTCGCTGTATTGATCCGAGTGTTCTGCAGCCACTCAGCGCTCCCAAGGACACGCCACGAAGCCGCAATGGAACCTGGGTACTCGGGGAGACCGGCTCCTCTCGGGCTCGAGGGGACCACAGCAGAAGAATGGGAGTAGTTCTGCTAAAGTTGTGAGTGCTCTCGTCTGCCCCGATTGTGGCTCGGAAAATATATAAAAGCTCGTCTTTTTCTGGACCAAAAATTGTCGAGTGGCTTTGCTCAAATGCAATCCCCTTTGTGGGGGTTTTAGTCATGAGCTGCAGTTGTTTTTAGCTGAATCCATGCTCAGGAACGCATGAATCCTGCACAAACCTGAATCCTCTTCTGTCTGAATGCTCCTTTCTCACAGGAGGATGGTTTAGTGTCTTGCTCAGGGACACAACACAGCAGACATTAGTGTTAGTAGGTGGTAGGTCCTGTGGGGGATCGAACCCACAACCGTCAGGCCTGAAGCCACTGTCACACCCAATGGACAATGCTAAACTCAAAAAAGGCCGATAGAGAAGTGCTCATGGTGAAGTCTGTCTATTGACTTAATGTAAAGTAAACGCCTCTAGCTCAGAAACGTTTGTGTGACATCACCAGTTTGGGCTCAAATCTCTGGTTTCTCTTTTTGTACATCCAGGCATGACCATATAAGGACTAACCAATCAGAGGCCATCATTCACAGGGAAACTCCAGCTTTCCTTAGCAACCGTCTTAGCAACACGTCTGCCCTGTTATGGCACAAAGCTAATATTGTCAGAACAAATGCCCATATAAGGCAAGGCCAGTTTATCTGTGTAGCACAGTTCATACACAAAGCCCTCAGTCTGAGTTTAACAAAACATTTAAGTCATGAATGATCACAGTTCATTAACACGGCTAAAACAAGGTGCTGGTGTTCAAATGGGCTCCTTCTGCGCTAAAGCTAACACAGTCACTGCTAACACCGTCACATTGTGGAAAAGCAGGACCCAAAATACAGGAACGCCAAAATATAATTCACAAAAACTCAAAAATAACAAAATCCAGGATCCAGGACTCGAAACTCAAACCAAGAGGAAACACAATGGACCAGCAACAAGCGTAGATACACACACACACGCACACACAGGGACAAAAACACACAAGGACAAAAACACAATGGACCAACAACAAGGACAGGGTTTAAATACACACAAGAACACCCACACACACACACACTTAAGGACGCACGCACACACACACAGGGACACACACACACACACACGGACAGACACGCGCACACACACACACAGGGACACACACACGGACAAACACACACAGACACACACTCACAGGGAGACACACACTGACACAGACACACAAACACACACAGGGAGACACACACTGACACAGACACACACAACAGCAAAAGTAATGAAAAGTGCACACATGACACTGTGGTGATGTCACACTCTGAGTTGATGCTTCTTACGAGTCTCAAAACTATTGAAAATTGATCCAAAACTAGTAAAACATTTACACCTGTAGAAAAGAGACAATCTTCGTTCCCTCCCTCACCTATGGTCATGAGGGAGCAGCGTCTGCAGTCAGAGCTCCCCTCCCTCACCTATGGTCATGAGGCAGCAGCGTCTGCAGTCAGAGCTCACCTCCCTCACCTATGGTCATGAGCTTTGGGTAATGACAGAAAGAACGAGATCGCGGATACAAGCGGTCGAAATGAGCTTCCTCCGCAGAGTGGCTGCTCCCTTAGATATAGGGTGAGGAGCTCAGTCAGACGGGAGGAGCTCGGAGTAGAGCCGCTGCTCCCTTAGAGATAGAGTGAGGAGCTCAGTCACACGGGAGGAGCTCGGAGTAGAGCCGCTGCTCCCTTAGAGATAGGGTGAGGAGCTCAGTCACACGGGAGGAGCTCGGAGTAGAGCCGCTGCTCCCTTAGAGATAGGGTGAGGAGCTCAGTCACACGGGAGGAGCTCGGAGTAGAGCCGCTGCTCCCTTAGAGATAGGGTGAGGAGCTCAGTCACACGGGAGGAGCTCGGAGTAGAGCCGCTGCTCCCTTAGAGATAGGGTGAGGAGCTCAGTCACACGGGAAGAGCTCGGAGTAGAGCCGCTGCTCCCTTATAGATAGGGTGAGGAGCTCAGTCACACGGGAGGAGCTCGGAGTAGAGCCGCTGCTCCCTTAGAGATAGGGTGAGGAGCTCAGTCACACGGGAGGAGCTCGGAGTAGAGCCGCTGCTCCCTTAGAGATAGGGTGAGGAGCTAAGTCACACGGGAGGAGCTCGGAGTAGAGCCGCTGCTCCCTTAGAGATAGGGTGAGGAGCTCAGTCACACGGGAGGAGCTCGGAGTAGAGCCGCTGCTTCTCCACGTCGAGAGGAACCAGTTGAGGTGGCTCGGGCATCTGTTCTGGATGCCTCCTGGACGCCTCCCTGGGAAGGTGTTCTGGGCACGTCCCACCGGGAGGAGGCCCCGGGGAAGACCCAGGACACGCTGGAGGAACTATGTCTCTCAGCTGGCCTGGGAACGCCTTGGGGTCGGACGAGCTGGAGGAAGTGTGTGTGGATAGGGAAGTCTGGGCGTCTCTGCTTAGACTGCTGCCCCCGCGACCCGGCAACGGATAAAGCGGAAGAAAATGGATGGATGGAGAAAAGAGACAAAAACAGGAAACCAGGAGTCAGCGTCTGTGGAAAGTTTGCAGTCAGCACCTGTGGAAAGTTTGCAGTCAGCGTCTGTGGAAAGTTTGCAGTCAGCGCCTGTGGAAAGTTTGCAGTCAGCGCCTGTGGAAAGTTTGCAGTCAGCGCCTGTGGAAAGTTTGCAGTCAGCGTCTGTGGAAAGTTTACAGTAAGCGTCTGTGGAAAGTTTGCAGTCAGCGTCTGTGGATAGTTTGCAGTCAGCGTCTGTGGAAAGTTTGCAGTCAGCGCCTGTGGAAAGTTTGCAGTCAGCGCCTGTGGAAAGTTTGCAGTCAGCGCCTGTGGAAAGTTTGCAGTCAGCGTCTGTGGAAAGTTTACAGTAAGCGTCTGTGGAAAGTTTGCAGTCAGCGTCTGTGGATAGTTTGCAGTCAGCGTCTGTGGAAAGTTTGCAGTCAGCGCCTGTGGAAGGTTTGCAGTCAGCGCCTGTGGAAAGTTTGCAGTCAGCGTCCGGAAAGTTTGCAGTCAGCGTCTGTGGAAAGTTTGCAGTCAGCGTCTGTGGAAATTTTGCAGTCAGCGTCTGTGGATAGTTTGCAGTCAGCGTCTGTGGAAAGTTTGCAGTCAGCGCCTGTGGAAGGTTTGCAGTCAGCGCCTGTGGAAAGTTTGCAGTCAGCGCCTGTGGAAAGTTTGCAGTCAGCGCCTGTGGAAAGTTTGCAGTCAGCGCCTGTGGAAAGTTTGCAGTCAGCGCCTGTGGAAAGTTTGCAGTCAGCGCCTGTGGAAAGTTTGCAGTCAGCGTCTGTGGAAAGTTTACAATCAGCGCCTGTGGAAAGTTTGCAGTCAGCGTCTGTGGATAGTTTGCAGTCAGCGTCTGTGGAAAGTTTGCAGTCAGCGCCTGTGGAAGGTTTGCAGTCAGCGCCTGTGGAAAGTTTGCAGTCAGCGTCCGGAAAGTTTGCAGTCAGCGTCTGTGGAAAGTTTGCAGTCAGCGTCTGTGGAAATTTTGCAGTCGGCGTCTGTGAATAGTTTGCAGTCAGCGTCTGTGGAAAGTTTGCAGTCAGCGCCTGTGGAAGGTTTGCAGTCAGCGCCTGTGGAAAGTTTGCAGTCAGCGTCCGGAAAGTTTGCAGTCAGCGCCTGTGGAAAGTTTGCAGTCAGCGTCTGTGGAAAGTTTGCAGTCAGCGTCTGTGGAAAGTTTGCAGTCAGCGCCTGTGGAAAGTTTGCAGTCAGCGCCTGTGGAAAGTTTGCAGTCAGCGCCTGTGGAAAGTTTGCAGTCAGCGCCTGTGGAAAGTTTGCAGTCAGCGCCTGTGGAAAGTTTGCAGTCAGCGTCTGTGGAAAGTTTACAGTCAGCGTCTGTGGAAAGTTTGCAGTCAGCGTCTGTGGATAGTTTGCAGTCAGCGTCTGTGGAAAGTTTGCAGTCAGCGCCTGTGGAAGGTTTGCAGTCAGCGCCTGTGGAAAGTTTGCAGTCAGCGTCCGGAAAGTTTGCAGTCAGCGTCTGTGGAAAGTTTGCAGTCAGCGTCTGTGGAAAGTTTGCAGTCAGCGTCTGTGGATAGTTTGCAGTCAGCGTCTGTGGAAAGTTTGCAGTCAGCGTCCGGAAAGTTTGCAGTCAGCGTCTGTGGAAAGTTTGCAGTCAGCGTCTGTGGAAAGTTTGCAGTCAGCGTCTGTGGATAGTTTGCAGTCAGCGTCTGTGGAAAGTTTGCAGTCAGCGTCTGTGGAAAGTTTGCAGTCAGCGCCTGTGGAAAGTTTGCAGTCAGCGTCTGTGGAAAGTTTGCAGTCAGCGTCTGTGGAAAGTTTGCAGTCAGCGTCTGTGGAAAGTTTGCAGTCAGCGTCTGTGGAAAGTTTGCAGTCAGCGTCTGTGGAAAGTTTGCAGTCAGCGTCTGTGGAAAGTTTGCAGTCAGCGTCTGTGGATAGTTTGCAGTCAGCGTCTGTGGAAAGTTTGCAGTCAGCGTCTGTGGAAAGTTTGCAGTCAGCGTCTGTGGAAAGTTTGCAGTCAGCGTCTGTGGAAAGGGGTGACTTTTTAATCAGGAGAAGGGGGCCACACATTACCTTTTGTGGGCCGCAAATGTCTCGCGGGCCACGTGCTGGAGCCCCTGGATCTGTGACATGGAAGTCGACTCCAGATGGAACATACACTGATAATGTTGTTTTAGTTTCACTTTTGTGTTTTCAGTGAAGTTGTTTTGAAGAAAGAGAGAGTTGTTCTTGAGACAATTCAGAACATTCACTTATTCTTACTAGAACATATCACGAGGATCTGTCCTGGATTTTTATTATTCTATGGGTCTTGACCACAGTCTGCTCTGGGTCTCGACCACAGTCTGCTCTGGGTCTCTACCACAGTCTGGTCTGGGTCTCTCTCTCTGGTCTCTCTCTGGTCTCTCTCTGGTCTCTCTCTGGTCTCTCTCTAGTCTCTCCCTCTGGTCGCTCTCTGGTCTCTTTCTGGTCTCTCTCTGGTCGCTCTCTGGTCTCTCTTTCTGGTCTCACTCTGGTCTCACTCTGGTCTCACTCTGGTCTCACTCTGGTCTCACTCTGGTCTCTCTCTGGTCTCTCTCTGGTCTCACTCTGGTCTCTCTCTGGTCTCTCTCTGGTCTCTCTCTCTGGTCTCTCTCTGGTCTCTCCAGCTGGTCTCTCCCTCTGGTCTCTCTGGTCTCTCTCTGGTCTCTCTGGTCTCTCTCTGGTCTCTCTGGTCTCTGCCTCTGGTCTCTCTCTGGTCTCTCTCTGGTCTCTCTCTCTGGTCTCTGCCTCTGGTCTCTCTCTGGTCTCTGCCTCTGGTCTCTCTCTGGTCTCTCTCTGGTCTCTCTCCCTGGTCTCTCTCTCTGGTCTCTCTCTCTGGTCTCTCTCTGGTCTTTCTCTCTGGTCTCTCTCTGGTCTCTCTCTCTGGTCTCTCTCTGGTCTCTCTCTCTGGTCTCTCTCTGGTCTCTCTCTCTGGTCTCTCTCTGGTCTCTCTCCCTGGTCTCTCTCTCTGGTCTCTCTCTCTGGTCTCTCTCTGGTCTCTCTCTCTGGTCTCTCTCTGGTCTCTCTCTCTGGTCTCTCTCTCTGGTCTCTCTCTGGTCTCTCTCTCTGGTCTCTCTCTGGTCTCTCTCTCTGGTCTCTCTCTCTGGTCTCTCTCTGGTCTCTCTCTCTGGTCTCTCTCTGGTCTCTCTCTCTGGTCTCTCTCTGGTCTCTCTCTCTGGTCTCTCTCTGGTCTCTCTCCCTGGTCTCTCTCTCTGGTCTCTCTCCCTGGTCTCTCTCTCTGGTCTCTCTCCCTGGTCTCTCTCTCTGGTCTCTCTCTCTGGTCTCTCTCTGGTCTCTCTCCCTGGTCTCTCTCTCTGGTCTCTCTCCCTGGTCTCTCTCTCTGGTCTCTCTCTGATCTCTCTCTGGTCTCTCTCTGGTCTCTCTCTCTGGTCTCTCTCTGGTCTCTCTCTCTGGTCTCTCTCTGGTCTCTCTCTCTGGTCTCTCTCTGGTCTCTCTCTGGTCTCTTTCTGGTCTCTCTCTCTGGTCTCTCTCTGGTCTCTCTCTGGTCTCTTTCTGGTCTCTCTCTCTTGTCTCTCTCTGGTCTCTCTCTGGTCTCTCTCTGGTCTCTCTCTGGTCTGGTCTCTCTCTCTGGTCTCTCTCTGGTCTCTCTCTCTGGTCTCTCTCTGGTCTCTCTCTCTGGTCTCTCTCTCTGGCCTCTCTCTGGTCTCTCTCTCTGGCCTCTCTCTGGTCTCTCTCTGGTCTCTCTCTCTGGTCTCTCTCTCTGGTCTCTCTCTGGTCTCTCTCTCTGGTCTCTCTCTGGTCTCTCTCTGGTCTCTCTCTCTGGTCTCTCTCTGGTCTCTTTCTGGTCTCTCTCTCTGGTCTCTTTCTGGTCTCTCTCTCTGGTCTCTCTCTGGTCTCTTTCTGGTCTCTCTCTCTGGTCTCTCTCTGGTCTCTCTCTGGTCTCATTCTGGTCTCTCTCTCTGGTCTCTCTCTGGTCTCTCTCTGGTCTCTTTCTGGTCTCTCTCTCTGGTCTCTCTCTCTGGCCTCTCTCTGGTCTCTCTCTCTGGCCTCTCTCTGGTCTCTCTCTGGTCTCTCTCTCTGGTCTCTCTCTCTGGTCTCTCTCTGGTCTCTCTCTCTGGTCTCTCTCTGGTCTCTCTCTGGTCTCTCTCTCTGGTCTCTCTCTGGTCTCTTTCTGGTCTCTCTCTCTGGTCTCTTTCTGGTCTCTCTCTCTGGTCTCTCTCTGGTCTCTTTCTGGTCTCTCTCTCTGGTCTCTCTCTGGTCTCTCTCTGTGTATTGACCTGTGCTTGATCATTTTATGACTCTGAAGTGAAGTTTCTATATGACTCTGACCTGAAGTTTCTATATGACTCTGACCATGACCTGAAGTTTCTATATGACTCTGACCTGAAGTTTCTATATGACTCTGACCATGACCTGAAGTTTCTATATGACTCTGACCTGAAGTTTCTATGACTCTGACTCTGACTCTGACCTGAAGTTTCTATATGACCTGAAAGTTTCTATATGACTCTGACCTGAAGTTTCTATATGACTCTGACCCTGAAGTTTCTATATGACTCTGACCTGAGAAGTTTCTATATGACTCTGACCTATGACCTGACCTGAAGTTTCTATATGACTCTGACCTGAAGTTTCTATATGACTCTGACCTGAAGTTTCTATATGACTCTGACCTGAAGTTTCTATATGACTCTGACCTGAAGTTTCTATATGACTCTGACCTGAAGTTTCTATATGACTCTGACCTGAAGTTTCTATATGACTCTGACCTGAAGTTTCTATATGACTCTGACCTGAAGTTTCTATATGACTCTGAAGTTTCTATATGACTCTGACCTGAAGTTTCTATATGACTCTGACCAAGTTCAAGACCTGAAAGTTTCTATATGACTCTGACCTGAAGTTTCTATATGACTCTGACCTGAAGTTCTATAGACTCTGAAGTTTCCTGAAGTTTCTATATGACTTGACCTGAAGTTTCTATATGACTCTGACCTGAAGTTTCTATATGACTCTGACCTGAAGTTTCTATATGACTCTGACCTGAAGTTTCTATATGACTCTGACCTGAAGTTTCTATATGACTCTGACCTGAAGTTTCTATATGACTCTGACCTGAAGTTTCTATATGACTCTGACCTGAAGTTTCTATATGACTCTGTCCTGAAGTTTCTATATGACTCTGACCTGAAGTTTCTATATGACTCTGACCTGAAGTTTCTATATGACTCTGACCTGAAGTTTCTATATGACTCTGACCTGAAGTTTCTATATGACTCTGACCTGAAGTTTCTATATGACTCTGACCTGAAGTTTCTATATGACTCTGACCTGAAGTTTCTATATGACTCTGACCTGAAGTTTCTATATGACTCTGACCTGAAGTTTCTATATGACTCTGACCTGAAGTTTCTATATGACTCTGACCATTTCCTGAAGTTTCTATGACTGACCTGAAGTTTCTATGACTCTGACCTGAAGTTTCTATATGACTCTGACCTGAAGTTTCTATATGACTCTGACCTGAAGTTTCTATATGACTCTGACCTGAAGTTTCTATATGACTCTGACCTGAAGTTTCTATATGACTCTGACCTGAAGTTTCTATATGACTCTGACCTGAAGTTTCTATATGACTCTGACCTGAAGTTTCTACATGACTCTGACCTGAAGTTTCTACATGGACACAAAGTGTAGAACACGACGTGTCTAAAACATAAATTCTAGACCCAATAGGGCTGGAAAGCAGAAGTGCGAGATGTCCACCCGCGGAGACAAACAAACCACACGTGCCACTTGTAGGAGCTGAGATCGCAGACTTCTTTCTTAACGGACTTTCCTGTGTTGATTTTGGACACATTTCATCTCTGGGACAGAAAAACTGATTAGACGTGAAGTTTCTATATGACTCTGACCATGTTCTGAAGTTTCTATATGACTCTGACCTGAAGTTTCTATATGACTCTGACCATGACCTGAAGTTTCTATATGACTCTGACCTGAAGTTTCTATATGACTCTGACCTGAAGTTTCTATATGACTCTGACCATGACCTGAAGTTTCTATATGACTCTGACCTGAAGTTTCTATATGACTCTGACCTGAAGTTTCTATATGACTCTGACCATGACCTGAAGTTTCTATATGACTCTGACCTGAAGTTTCTATATGACTCTGACCATGACCTGAAGTTTCTATATGACTCTGACCTGAAGTTTCAATATGACTCTGACCATGACCTGAAGTTTCTATATGACTCTGACCTGAAGTTTCTATATGACTCTGACCATGTTCTGAAGTTTCTATATGACTCTGACCTGAAGTTTCTATATGACTCTGACCATGACCTGAAGTTTCTATATGACTCTGACCTGAAGTTTCTATATGACTCTGACCTGAAGTTTCTATATGACTCTGACCATGACCTGAAGTTTCTATATGACTCTGACCTGAAGTTTCTATATGACTCTGACCTGAAGTTTCTTTATGACTCTGACCTGAAGTTTCTTTATGACTCTGACCTGAAGTTTCTTTATGACTCTGACCTGAAGTTTCTATATGACTCTGACCTGAAGTTTCTTTATGACTCTGACCTGAAGTTTCTATATGACTCTGACCATGACCTGAAGTTTCTATATGACTCTGACCTGAAGTTTCTATATGACTCTGACCTGAAGTTTCTATATGACTCTGACCTGAAGTTTCCATATGACTCTGACCATGACCTGAAGTTTCTATATGACTCTGACCTGAAGTTTCTATATGACTCTGACCTGAAGTTTCTATATGACTCTGACCATGACCTGAAGTTTCTATATGACTCTGACCTGAAGTTTCTATATGACTCTGATCTGAAGTTTCTATATGACTCTGACCATGACCTGAAGTTTCTATATGACTCTGACCTGAAGTTTCTATATGACTCTGACCATGACCTGAAGTTTCTATATGACTCTGACCATGACCTGAAGTTTCTATATGACTCTGACCTGAAGTTTCTATATGACTCTGACCTGAAGTTTCTTTATGACTCTGACCTGAAGTTTCTTTATGACTCTGACCTGAAGTTTCTTTATGACTCTGACCTGAAGTTTCTATATGACTCTGACCTGAAGTTTCTTTATGACTCTGACCTGAAGTTTCTTTATGACTCTGATCTGAAGTTTCTTTATGACTCTGACCTGAAGTTTCTATATGACTCTGACCATGACCTGAAGTTTCTATATGACTGACCTGAAGTTTCTATATGACTCTGACCTGAAGTTTCTTTATGACTCTGACCTGAAGTTTCTTTATGACTCTGACCTGAAGTTCTTTATGACTCTGACCTGAAGTTTCTATATGACTCTGACCTGAAGTTTCTATATGACTCTGACCATGACCTGAAGTTTCTATATGACTCTGACCTGAAGTTTCTATATGACTCTGACCTGAAGTTTCTATATGACTCTGACCATGACCTGAAGTTTCTATATGACTCTGACCTGAAGTTTCTTTATGACTCTGACCTGAAGTTTCTATATGACTCTGACCTGAAGTTTCTACATGACTCTGACCTGAAGTTTCTATATGACTCTGACCATGACCTGAAGTTTCTATATGACTCTGACCTGAAGTTTCTTTATGACTCTGACCTGAAGTTTCTTTATGACTCTGACCTGAAGTTTCTTTATGACTCTGACCTGAAGTTTCTATATGACTCTGACCTGAAGTCTCTATATGACTCTGACCTGAAGTTTCTTTATGACTCTGACCTGAAGTTTCTTTATGACTCTGACCTGAAGTTTCTATATGACTCTGACCATGACCTGAAGTTTCTATATGACTCTGATCTGAAGTTTCTATATGACTCTGACCTGAAGTTTCTTTATGACTCTGACCTGAAGTTTCTTTATGACTCTGACCTGAAGTTTCTTTATGACTCTGACCTGAAGTTTCTATATGACTCTGACCATGACCTGAAGTTTCTTTATGACTCTGACCTGAAGTTTCTTTATGACTCTGACCTGAAGTTTCTATATGACTCTGACCATGACCTGAAGTTTCTTTATGACTCTGACCTGAAGTTTCTTTATGACTCTGACCTGAAGTTTCTTTATGACTCTGACCTGAAGTTTCTTTATGACTCTGACCTGAAGTTTCTATATGACTCTGACCTGAAGTTTCTACATGACTCTGACCTGAAGTTTCTACATGACTCTGACCTGAAGTTTCTACATGACTCTGACCTGAAGTTTCTATATGACTCTGACCTGAAGTTTCTTTATGACTCTGACCTGAAGTTTCTACATGACTCTGACCTGAAGTTTCTACATGACTCTGACCTGAAGTTTCTATATGACTCTGACCTGAAGTTTCTTTATGACTCTGACCTGAAGTTTCTATATGACTCTGACCTGAAGTTTCTATATGACTCTGACCTGAAGTTTCTATATAACTCTGACCTGAAGTTTCTATATGACTCTGATCTGAAGTTTCTTTATGACTCTGACCTGAAGTTTCTACATGACTCTGACCTGAAGTTTCTATATGACTCTGACCTGAAGTTTCTACATGACTCTGACCTGAAGTTTCTACATGACTCTGACCTGAAGTTTCTATATGACTCTGACCTGAAGTTTCTATATGACTCTGACCTGAAGTTTCTATATGACTCTGACCATGACCTGAAGTTTCTATATGACTCTGACCTGAAGTTTCTATATGACTCTGACCATGACCTGAAGTTTCTATATGACTCTGACCTGAAGTTTCTATATGACTCTGACCATGACCTGAAGTTTCTATATGACTCTGACCTGAAGTTTCTATATGACTCTGACCATGACCTGAAGTTTCTATATGACTCTGACCATGACCTGAAGTTTCTATATGACTCTGACCTGAAGTTTCTATATGACTCTGACCTGAAGTTTCTTTATGACTCTGACCTGAAGTTTCTTTATGACTCTGACCTGAAGTTTCTTTATGACTCTGACCTGAAGTTTCTATATGACTCTGACCTGAAGTTTCTTTATGACTCTGACCTGAAGTTTCTTTATGACTCTGATCTGAAGTTTCTTTATGACTCTGACCTGAAGTTTCTATATGACTCTGACCATGACCTGAAGTTTCTATATGACTGACCTGAAGTTTCTATATGACTCTGACCTGAAGTTTCTTTATGACTCTGACCTGAAGTTTCTTTATGACTCTGACCTGAAGTTTCTTTATGACTCTGACCTGAAGTTTCTTTATGACTCTGACCTGAAGTTTCTATATGACTCTGACCATGACCTGAAGTTTCTATATGACTCTGACCTGAAGTTTCTATATGACTCTGACCATGACCTGAAGTTTCTATATGACTCTGACCTGAAGTTTCTATATGACTCTGACCTGAAGTTTCTATATGACTCTGACCTGAAGTTTCTTTATGACTCTGACCTGAAGTTTCTATATGACTCTGACCTGAAGTTTCTATATGACTCTGACCTGAAGTTTCTTTATGACTCTGACCTGAAGTTTCTATATGACTCTGACCTGAAGTTTCTACATGACTCTGACCTGAAGTTTCTATATGACTCTGACCATGACCTGAAGTTTCTATATGACTCTGACCTGAAGTTTCTTTATGACTCTGACCTGAAGTTTCTTTATGACTCTGACCTGAAGTTTCTTTATGACTCTGACCTGAAGTTTCTATATGACTCTGACCTGAAGTCTCTATATGACTCTGACCTGAAGTTTCTTTATGACTCTGACCTGAAGTTTCTTTATGACTCTGACCTGAAGTTTCTATATGACTCTGACCATGACCTGAAGTTTCTATATGACTCTGATCTGAAGTTTCTATATGACTCTGACCTGAAGTTTCTTTATGACTCTGACCTGAAGTTTCTTTATGACTCTGACCTGAAGTTTCTTTATGACTCTGACCTGAAGTTTCTATATGACTCTGACCATGACCTGAAGTTTCTTTATGACTCTGACCTGAAGTTTCTTTATGACTCTGACCTGAAGTTTCTTTATGACTCTGACCTGAAGTTTCTTTATGACTCTGACCTGAAGTTTCTTTATGACTCTGACCTGAAGTTTCTATATGACTCTGACCATGACCTGAAGTTTCTATATGACTCTGACCTGAAGTTTCTATATGACTCTGACCATGACCTGAAGTTTCTATATGACTGACCTGAAGTTTCTTTATGACTCTGACCTGAAGTTTCTATATGACTCTGACCTGAAGTTTCTACATGACTCTGACCTGAAGTTTCTATATGACTCTGACCATGACCTGAAGTTTCTATATGACTCTGACCTGAAGTTTCTTTATGACTCTGACCTGAAGTTTCTTTATGACTCTGACCTGAAGTTTCTTTATGACTCTGACCTGAAGTTTCTATATGACTCTGACCTGAAGTCTCTATATGACTCTGACCTGAAGTTTCTTTATGACTCTGACCTGAAGTTTCTTTATGACTCTGACCTGAAGTTTCTATATGACTCTGACCATGACCTGAAGTTTCTATATGACTCTGATCTGAAGTTTCTATATGACTCTGACCTGAAGTTTCTTTATGACTCTGACCTGAAGTTTCTTTATGACTCTGACCTGAAGTTTCTTTATGACTCTGACCTGAAGTTTCTATATGACTCTGACCATGACCTGAAGTTTCTTTATGACTCTGACCTGAAGTTTCTTTATGACTCTGACCTGAAGTTTCTTTATGACTCTGACCTGAAGTTTCTTTATGACTCTGACCTGAAGTTTCTTTATGACTCTGACCTGAAGTTTCTACATGACTCTGACCTGAAGTTTCTATATGACTCTGACCTGAAGTTTCTATATGACTCTGACCTGAAGTTTCTATATGACTCTGACCTGAAGTTTCTACATGACTCTGACCTGAAGTTTCTACATGACTCTGTCCTGAAGTTTCTATATGACTCTGACTTGAAGTTTCTATATGACTCTGACCTGAAGTTTCTACATGACTCTGACCTGAAGTTACTATATGACTCTGACCTGAAGTTTCTATATGACTCTGACCTGAAGTTTCTACATGACTCTGACCTGAAGTTTCTACATGACTCTGACCTGAAGTTTCTATATGACTCTGACCTGAAGTTTCTTTATGACTCTGACCTGAAGTTTCTATATGACTCTGATCTGAAGTTTCTATATGACTCTGACCTGAAGTTTCTATATGACTCTGACCTGAAGTTTCTATATGACTCTGATCTGAAGTTTCTTTATGACTCTGACCTGAAGTTTCTACATGACTCTGACCTGAAGTTTCTACATGACTCTGACCTGAAGTTTCTATATGACTCTGACCTGAAGTTTCTATATGACTCTGACCTGAAGTTTCTACATGACTCTGACCTGAAGTTTCTACATGACTCTGACCTGAAGTTTCTATATGACTCTGACCTGAAGTTTCTATATGACTCTGACCTGAAGTTTCTATATGACTCTGACCTGAAGTTTCTACATGACTCTGACCTGAAGTTTCTACATGACTCTGTCCTGAAGTTTCTATATGACTCTGACTTGAAGTTTCTTTATGACTCTGACCTGAAGTTTCTATATGACTCTGACCATGACCTGAAGTTTCTATATGACTCTGACCTGAAGTTTCTTTATGACTCTGACCTGAAGTTTCTACATGACTCTGACCTGAAGTTACTATATGACTCTGACCTGAAGTTTCTTTATGACTCTGACCTGAAGTTTCTACATGACTCTGACCTGAAGTTTCTACATGACTCTGACCTGAAGTTTCTATATGACTCTGACCTGAAGTTTCTTTATGACTCTGACCTGAAGTTTCTATATGACTCTGACCTGAAGTTTCTATATGACTCTGACCTGAAGTTTCTATATGACTCTGACCTGAAGTTTCTATATGACTCTGACCTGAAGTTTCTACATGACTCTGACCTGATGTTTCTACATGACTCTGACCTGAAGTTTCTACATGACTCTGACCTGAAGTTTCTATATGACTCTGACCTGAAGTTTCTATATGACTCTGACCTGAAGTTTCTACATGACTCTGACCTGAAGTTTCTATATGACTCTGACCTGAAGTTTCTATATGACTCTGACCTGAAGTTTCTACATGACTCTGACCTGAAGTTTCTACATGACTCTGACCTGAAGTTTCTATATGACTCTGACCTGAAGTTTCTATATGACTCTGACCTGAAGTTTCTATATGACTCTGACCTGAAGTTTCTATATGACTCTGACCATGACCTGAAGTTTCTATATGACTCTGACCTGAAGTTTCTATATGACTCTGACCATGACCTGAAGTTTCTATATGACTCTGACCTGAAGTTTCTATATGACTCTGACCATGACCTGAAGTTTCTATATGACTCTGACCTGAAGTTTCTATATGACTCTGACCTGAAGTTTCTACATGACTCTGACCTGATGTTTCTACATGACTCTGACCTGAAGTTTCTACATGACTCTGACCTGAAGTTTCTATATGACTCTGACCTGAAGTTTCTATATGACTCTGACCTGAAGTTTCTACATGACTCTGACCTGAAGTTTCTATATGACTCTGACCTGAAGTTTCTATATGACTCTGACCTGAAGTTTCTACATGACTCTGACCTGAAGTTTCTACATGACTCTGACCTGAAGTTTCTATATGACTCTGACCTGAAGTTTCTATATGACTCTGACCATGACCTGAAGTTTCTATATGACTCTGACCTGAAGTTTCTATATGACTCTGACCATGACCTGAAGTTTCTATATGACTCTGACCTGAAGTTTCTTTATGACTCTGACCTGAAGTTTCTTTATGACTCTGACCTGAAGTTTCTATATGACTCTGACCATGACCTGAAGTTTCTATATGACTCTGACCTGAAGTTTCTATATGACTCTGACCTGAAGTTTCTATATGACTCTGACCTGAAGTTTCTATATGACTCTGACCATGACCTGAAGTTTCTATATGACTCTGACCTGAAGTTTCTTTATGACTCTGACCTGAAGTTTCTTTATGACTCTGACCTGAAGTTTCTTTATGACTCTGACCTGAAGTTTCTTTATGACTCTGACCTGAAGTTTCTTTATGACTCTGACCTGAAGTTTCTATATGACTCTGACCTGAAGTTTCTTTATGACTCTGACCTGAAGTTTCTTTATGACTCTGACCTGAAGTTTCTTTATGACTCTGACCTGAAGTTTCTTTATGACTCTGACCTGAAGTTTCTTTATGACTCTGACCTGAAGTTTCTTTATGACTCTGACCTGAAGCCAATGTTTATGAACGATCAGTTTAATCTGTTCAGATCCACTTCACACTCACTGCAGTTTCACTTCAGGTCATTTTCCTTTTTGCTGTCTGTCAAAGATAACATGATGTAGTTGGTTATTATTCCTTTAATACTAATATTATGATTGTCCTTTCTGTTATATTTGAACATTTGTTAAATGTTATTTAATATGCATTGTTCTTTTATCTCTCACATAAATAAATAAATGTCTCCTGTGTGAGATCAATAAAGTTAATCTTATCTTAAAATACAAGCCACACTTAAAGGCTCGGCCGCGCACTACAGGTTAGCATTAGCTACACGTTAGCTTGAATACATATTACATTTATAAGTTAACCGTCTGTAAAATCAGACCAAATGTTTTATCACAACTGCAGAGCTTTTCCCACAGCTTCAGTCGGTCTTTGGGAAACCTACAAAATGAGCTTCGTGTAAACTTTAATGATTACAGACGAAAACAAAGCAGAGCATTCTGCACCGTTCACTTAAAGCTGCACTAACTGACTTTATTTTTGTATTCATTACAAAAGTGCTGTCCATGTCCGTGTAGTGCTTTGGGATATACGTCCTTTTAAAGAAACAGTAGCGCAGATTTGTGCTGACGTGACGTTATATTTTAGATCGAGTTTTGATGAAACAAGGAAGAGAATGTGTTTCGGGTCGCAGAGAGTGACCAATCACAGCGGACCACTGGCCCCCACTTTTGTGAGAAATCTACAGGTCCGTTAGCATAGACGGCTGAGTTAGCATAGACGGCTGAGTTAGCACAGACGGCTGAGTTAGCATAGACGGCTGAGTTAGCATAGACGGCTGAGTTAGCATAGACGGCTGAGTTAGCATAGACGGCTGAGTTAGCATAGACGGCTGAGTTAGCACAGACGGCTGAGTTAGCATAGACGGCTGAGTTAGCATAGACGGCTGAGTTAGCACAACAAGCGGCGGAGCTAACCTGAAACTTCCTCGTCTTCGTCATCGGTTACTGCTTACACAGCGAGACAGCCAATAGAAAGTCTCGTTCCTCGGCGCTTCCCGGTTCTATCGTTCTATGGTCACGCCATCCACGTGCAAATCCATATCCATGTATTATCCATATCTGGAGACGCTAGCTCCATAAACAGTGGGTGTGTGTGTGGGCGATAGCTTCGTGGGTGCGGGGAGGGGAGCAGGAAGAGCGAGGCCAGAGAGTCCACGGCTTCAAAATCCCAAAGTCAGTTAGTGCAGCTTTAAAGCGCCTCTTCCAACAGCTGACGGTTTGTTTGTGTCCGAGCAAAGGACCAGAAGTACCTCTGGAACGACACTTTCCAGCTCTATCCTCGACCCAACAGGCCCAGAGCAGACTCCTCCCATTTCCTCAAATCTCCAGGTTCAGACTTACTTTAGGAAATGGGCGGAGTCTGCTCTGCTCCTGTTGGGTCTGATTGAAAACCTGCAGCCACAGCGGCCCGTTCTGGACCGGTTTGGACTGGTTTGGACCAGTTTGGACACCCCTGAACTAAGTATTCTATTACTCAGCCACAAAAGTAAAGTTACCATGAGTGAAGGAGACATTCTGAACTCAAAGTATCTCTCAAAACACTTTTATCAGAGATAAATGATATCCAAAAGCTGAACAGCTGAGCAAAGACACACTCAGGAAGAGGACAAGAAAGAGACACAAACATCTGAGTCTTTCCATTTAGATACACCTCTGGAACTCTCTCCTCCCTCACCTCTGGAACTCTCTCCTCCCTCACCTCTGGAACTCTCTCCCCCCTCACCTCTGGAACTCTCTCCTCCCTCACCTCTGGAACTCTCTCCTCCCTCACCTCTGGAACTCTCTCCTCCCTCACCTCTGGAACTCTCTCCTCCCTCACCTCTGGAACTCTCTCCCCCCTCACCTCTGGAACTCTCCCTCCCTCACCTCTGGAACTCTCTCCTCCCTCACCTCTGGAACTCTCTCCTCCCTCACCTCTGGAACTCTCTCCCCCCTCACCTCTGGAACTCTCTCCCCCCCTCACCTCTGGAACTCTCTCCCCCCTCACCTCTGGAACTCTCTCCCCCCTCACCTCTGGAACTCTCTCCCCCCTGACCTCTGGAACTCTCTCCCCCCTCACCTCTGGAACTCTCTCCTCCCTCACCTCTGGAACTCTCTCCCCCCTGACCTCTGGAACTCTCTCCCCCCTCACCTCTGGAACTCTCTCCTCCCTCACCTCTGGAACTCTCTCCTCCCTCACCTCTGGAACTCTCTCCCCCCTGACCTCTGGAACTCTCTCCCCCCTCACCTCTGGAACTCTCTCCTCCCTCACCTCTGGAACTCTCTCCCCCCTCACCTCTGGAACTCTCTCCCCCCTCACCTCTGGAACTCTCTCCCCCCTCACCTCTGGAACTCTCTCCCCCCCTCACCTCTGGAACTCTCTCCTCCCTCACCTCTGGAACTCTCTCCTCTCTCACATCTGGAACTCTCTCCTCCCTCACCTCTGGAACTCTCTCCCCCCCTCACCTCTAGAACTCTCTCCCCCTCACCTCTGGAACTCTCTCCTTCCTCACCTCTGGAACTCTCTCCCCCCTCACCTCTGGAACTCTCTCCTCCCTCACCTCTGGAACTCTCTCCTCCCTCACCTCCGGAACTCTCTCCTCCCTCACCTCTGGAACTCTCTCCTCCCTCACCTCTGGAACTCTCTCCTCACTCACCTCTGGAACTCTCTCCTCCCTCACCTCTGGAACTCTCTCCTCCCTCACCTCTGGAACTCTCTCCTCACTCACCTCTGGAACTCTCCTCCCTCACCTCTGGAACTCTCTCCTCACTCACCTCTGGAACTCTCTCCTCACTCACCTCTGGAACTCTCTCCTCCCTCACCTCTGGAACTCTCTCCTCCCTCACCTCTGGAACTCTCTCCTCCCTCACCTCTGGAACTCTCTCCTCCCTCACCTCTGGAACTCTCTCCTCCCTCACCTCTGGAACTCTCTCCCCCCTCACCTCTGGAACTCTCTCCCCCCCTCACCTCTGGAACTCTCTCCCCCCTCACCTCTGGAACTCTTTCCTCCCTCACCTCTGGAACTCTCTCCTCCCTCACCTCTGGAACTCTCTCCTCCCTCACCTCTGGAACTCTCTCCCCCCTCACCTCTGGAACTCTTTCCTCCCTCACCTCTGGAACTCTCTCCCCCCTCACCTCTGGAACTCTTTCCTCCCTCACCTCTGGAACTCTCTCCTCCCTCACCTCTGGAACTCTCTCCTCCCTCACCTCTGGAACTCTCTCCCCCCTCACCTCTGGAACTCTTTCCTCCCTCACCTCTGGAACTCTCTCCTCCCTCACCTCTGGAACTCTCTCCTCTGGAACTGTGTATGTGTGTATGATGTGTGTGTGTGTGTGCACTTGTTTTCAACTCCTGGTGGGGTCCATAACCTGAGATTCCACTCACGTCATGGGGACTGGTTTTACGTGGTGGGGCCCGAACACCGGACCCCACTGGTCCAAGCTTAATAATCAATGGGTAATGCTTTTCTAACGGTCCTTATGCAGTCTCTGTAAAAATATGGAAAGGACCCCTGGAGGTTTACTTTCCTGAAAAAAGTGTGTTCTGTGTCGGAACCCTGGTGGTGGGTTGCGGGATATCAAGGAGGGGCACACTGGGGCAATTTCAGTCCAGCAGGCTGGAGCCAATCATGGAGCAGCACAACAGAGGCTGGAGCCAATCATGGAGCAGCACAACAGAGGCTGGAGCCAATCATGGAGCAGCACAACAGAGGCTGGAGCCAATCATGGAGCAGCACAACAGAGGCTGGAGCCAATCATGGAGCAGCACAACAGAGGAAATCAGGTGTCAGGCTAGAAAAAGGTGCAAGTGTGTGGTTCATTAGGCTGCAGCCAATCACAGAGCAGCACACTGAAGCGCACGCTTACAAACCACTGGTAAGTGCTGACTACAAGTCATAACTTCAAATTGTTATATAGAATGATTACAAATTATTTGTTGTTTGTGCAGCTTAGTCAAGAGTCCCTAATTGATGAAGTCGACTCAGATTCTGACGATTTAACTGTCAAGAAGAAACTTGTAAAAAAGTATGGAAAAAGAAAAATCAAAAACACTTTTCTTCAAGACTCGGAAAGTGACGAACCAAAGGCAAATAAGATTGTTATCATGCAGCTGCAAAAGAAGAAAAATGGGGGGAGAGTTTACAGCAAGAGACACTTCTGCCTCTACTGTTCAATGTCCTGCCACAAAATGTCCCGTCATTTGACTAGAAAACATGGAAATGAAAGTGACGTAGCCAGAGCATTGGCTCTACCTGTGAAATCTAAAGCACGTAAACTTCAGTTTGATTTGATCAGGAATAGTGGAAACCGTGAGCACAATTTTGAGGTTTTAAAGGCCGGCATTGGAACTTTAGTCCCAGCTAAACAGCCAAATTCCCCAGTTAAATCCAGTGAGTTTTTGCACTGTATAGACTGTGGGGCATTGCTTAAGCGAAAGTCGCTGTGGAGGCATGTGGCCAGGTGCCGGCTTTCACAGAAAGATGCCCAGGCTAAACCGCAGGTAGAAGTAGGGTCCAGTCCCTCTGCTCCCTAGCCCAGCCTGTACCGGAGGGCATCAGCAAAAAGCTGTGGTCTTTAATTTGGGCAATGCATCAGGATGAGGTCACGGGTGTTGTCAAAGCAGAAAAGGGGATTCTGAGACTCGGAGAGCACCTGTACTTAAAACACGGGCATGATAAGACTAAGCATGATTACATTAGGCAGAAAATGAGAGAAGTCGGTAGGTTAATTAACGAAGCAAAAACCGCAGAGAAACTGAAAACAATTAAGGATTTCTTTATTCCTTCCAACTTTAACCATGTGATTGATGCAGTCAGGTCTGTGGCTGGATATGATGAGGAAACAAATCAATACAAGACTCCATCCTTGGCCCTCAAACTCGGCCATAGCCTCAGAAAGCTAGCAGATATTCTTGAATGTGACTCAAAAATGGAGCATTGTGTTGATGAACTATTTATTAAAAACCTCCAACGAAGCCGGCTGCTTTTTGAGAAGAGGTGGGACGTCTGTGTTTCTTCTGCTGCCCTACAGACCCTCCGGCAAGCCAAGTGGAACACTCCGGACCTGCTCCCTCTGACTGAGGACGTTAGAGCCATGCATGCACATATTGAGGTATGTCGACCTGAATATGTGCAAACCCTAATAAGTGAGCCAACGTCTAAGCATTGGTCTAAACTGGCAGTTTTGACTCTTTGTGAGGTCATCATTTTCAATCGAAGAAGGGAAGGTGAGGTTTCAAAGATGCCACTGACAGCCTTTACCTTAAGAAGTAAGACTGGGATCCATTCTGACATTGCTCTGGGACTGTCCCAACTTGAGAAAAAGCTGTGTCAGCATTTTCAACGCATTGAAATTAAAGGGAAAAGAAGTGGGAAAGTGGTGGTTCTTTTGACTCCTGAAATGATTGCTTCGATGGAGGTGCTGGTGGAGAACAGAAGGGCCTGTTCCATCTCTGACCATAACCCATACTTCTTTTCCCGCCCGGGCGCAGACACCCACATCAGGGGATCAGACTCCCTACGCCAGGTAGCCAAAGAATGTGGTGCGGTGCATCCAGAGATGCTATCCTCAACCAAACTTAGAAAGCACATAGCTACTGTGGCTGTGTCCAAAACGGTAGGCATCGGGCCGCGTAGGGTGGATATGTAGGCATCGTGACGTCACTTCCTCACGCGACGGCTATTGCAGGGGTGTCCAAAACCACTTGGCGAGCTCGCCAAGCGTAGGCATCATGACTTCGTCTCTATGGAAACGGCCACTTTTGGAGCAGATATGAAGGATGCATCTGATGTATGCTTCGCTGCCTTCTTTTTGCCAAGTCACGGCCGCGCATGCGCAGAACTCCGTTTGGCATTAACATGCCAAACGAACTACAACAAACTCGGACCTGCTGGAGCTAACATTATGGTAAGCACTGCTATACTTTACTGTGAAGTTATGTCTATAGTAAGTACTGCTATACTTTACTGTTGAGTTATGAACACGACTGTTATGATAAAACACAGACATAAATTAGATCTGCCACAGATGTGTGTATTTAACCTTGTTATCTGCTGTAAATAAGCTCAGTCCCGAAAAGCTAATGCTAATGCTACGAGGCTAGTTCATTCAGATTCGGTTTTTGAACAAGAAAAATCATGTTGTGTTTTATCTTTTAGGGAAAAACAAACCCACTGATTAAATATTAAAGCTACACTGAGGAAATAGTCACACAGCTATAGTATGCTAACACATGTTTTCTGTATTCATATAAAATACATTGTGCATATCGTTTTTAATCCCATACTGAGACTGGGAAAACTGTATATATTAGACATATGAAATTATAGAACAGGCCAAGAATAATTATAAAGCCCTTTTCATACAATAGTCTAATAAATAGTAAACACACATTATACAGAGGTTTCGTTTGTCATTAATAAGACATTTGCAGAAGACAAAGTCCCACTTCCACAAACACAGGTTTAAAGTGGTTAGCCATGCTCATAACTTGATTATTTGTGTATATTTCTATCATATCATTCTTCTGTTTCCCCTGCTGTGAAACTTGTATCTCTAATATTAAATACTGTAAGGATTTCTGTATTTTATTTTTAACCAGTTTTTTGCAAAGCCCCAAATAAATAGTATTAATTGAATATGAAGTGTAAAAAGAATCCTAAATGTGGGCTGTGTTTTAATGCATGATGTTTGTGTTCTTCTTTTTCAGAGACTTGTGGTGAAATTAAGGTCATAATTTCTCCAGCTTCACCTCCATCACCTCCTGCTTCACCTCCATCACCTCCTGCTTCACCTCCATCACCTCATCACCACATTATGAACTACAACAAACTTGTATATAATATTTTCCTTTAATCACCAGTCATGAATAGTTAGAACAGTGGGCTCTGCATCTCTGAAGACATGTAGCAGAAGGAGCAGCAGCAGAAGGAGCAACAGGAGGAGTAACAGGAGGAGTAACAGCTGCAGCAGAGGGAGCAACAGGAGGAGTAACAGCAGCAGCAGAAGGAGCAACAGGAGGAGTAACAGCTGCAGCAGAAGGAGCAACAGGAGGAGCAACAGCAGCAGCAGAAGGAGCAACAGGAGGAGTAACAGCAGCAGCAGAAGGAGCAACAGGAGGAGTAACAGGAGGAGTAACAGCTGCAGCAGAGGGAGCAACAGGAGGAGTAACAGCTGCAGCAGAAGGAGCAACAGGAGGAGTAACAGCAGCAGCAGGAGTAACAGGAGGAGTAACAGGAGGAGTAACAGCTGCAGCAGAGGGAGCAACAGGAGGAGTAACAGCAGCAGAAGGAGCAACAGGAGGAGTAACAGGAGGAGTAACAGCTGCAGCAGAGGGAGCAACAGGAGGAGTAACAGCAGCAGCAGGAGTAACAGCAGCAGCAGGAGTAACAGCAGCAGCAGGAGCAACAGCAGCAGCAGGAGCAACAGCAGCAGCAGGAGCAACAGCAGCAGGAGCAACAGCAGCAGGAGCAGCAGCAGCAGGAGTAACAGGAGGAGCAACAGCAGCAGCAGCAGGAGCAGCAGCAGCAGGAGCAGCAGCAGAGTCCTGGGCGTCTGCCTCTGACACAGGTCTCATCGACAGCACTTCACAGAGAACCTGGAAATAAAGAAAACTAAAATCAAACTTGTTGGTTTTATTATGATTTTGTTGTTTGTGTGAAATGTAAAGAGTCATCAAAGTGAGGTATTATTTACACAACTACATATTTGTCAGCAGTACTTATACTTATACTTATACTTGAATACATTAAACTCAAATGTGATTAGTAACGGTCTGTTTGCTTTTCAAGAGATATAAAAGTGAATAAGAGCAGTGTCAAACATCTGTGTTCAACTTCATTTTACAGATGTCTGTTAATGTTTCCATGTGTCAGTTATTATTATAGATCCATGGATGTGTCAGTTATTATTATAGATAAATGGATGTGTCAGTTATTATTATAGATCCATGGATGTGTCAGTTATTATTATAGATCCATGGACGTGTCAGTTATTATTATAGATCCATGGATGTGTCAGTTATTATTATAGATAAATGGATGTGTCAGTTATTATTATAGATAAATGGATGTGTCAGTTATTATTATAGATCCATGGATGTGTCAGTTATTATTATAGATCCATGGATGTGTCAGTTATTATTATAGATCCATGGATGTGTCAGTTATTATTATAGATCCATGGATGTGTCAGTTATTATTATAGATCCATGGATGTGTCAGTTATTATTATAGATCCATGGATGTGTCAGTTATTATTATAGATCCATGGATGTGTCAGTTATTATTATAGATAAATGGATGTGTCAGTTATTATTATAGATAAATGGATGTGTCAGTTATTATTATAGATCCATGGATGTGTCAGTTATTATTATAGATCCATGGATGTGTCAGTTATTATTATAGATCCATGGATGTGTCAGTTATTATTATAGATCCATGGATGTGTCAGTTATTATTATAGATCCATGGATGTGTCAGTTATTATTATAGATCCATGGATGTGTCAGTTATTATTATAGATCCATGGATGTGTCAGTTATTATTATAGATCCATGGATGTGTCAGTTATTATTATAGATAAATGGATGTTCCAGTTATTATTATAGATCCATGGATGTGTCAGTTATTATTATAGATAAATGGATGTTCCAGTTATTATTATAGATAAATGGATGTGTCAGTTATTATTATAGATCCATGGATGTGTCAGTTATTATTATAGATCCATGGATGTTCCAGTTATTATTATAGATAAATGGATGTTCCAGTTATTATTATAGATAAATGGATGTGTCAGTTATTATTATAGATCCATGGATGTGTCAGTTATTATTATAGATCCATGGATGTGTCAGTTATTATTATAGATAAATGGATGTGTCAGTTATTATTATAGATCCATGGATGTGTCAGTTATTATTATAGATCCATGGATGTGTCAGTTATTATTATAGATAAATGGATGTGTCAGTTATTATTATAGATCCATGGATGTGTCAGTTATTATTATAGATCTATGGATGTGTCAGTTATTATTATAGATCCATGGATGTGTCAGTTATTATTATAGATCCATGGATGTTCCAGTTATTATTATAGATAAATGGATGTGTCAGTTATTATTATAGATAAATGGATGTGTCAGTTATTATTATAGATCTATGGATGTGTCAGTTATTATTATAGATCCATGGATGTGTCAGTTATTATTATAGATCAATGGATGTTCCAGTTATTATTATAGATAAATGGATGTGTCAGTTATTATTATAGATAAATGGATGTGTCAGTTATTATTATAGATCCATGGATGTGTCAGTTATTATTATAGATCCATGGATGTGTCAGTTATTATTATAGATAAATGGATGTTCCAGTTATTATTATAGATAAATGGATGTGTCAGTTATTATTATAGATCCATGGATGTGTCAGTTATTATTATAGATAAATGGATGTTCCAGTTATTATTATAGATAAATGGATGTTCCAGTTATTATTATAGATCCATGGATGTGTCAGTTATTATTATAGATCCATGGATGTGTCAGTTATTATTATAGACCCATGGATGTGTCAGTTATTATTATAGATAAATGGATGTGTCAGTTATTATTATAGATAAATGGATGTGTCAGTTATTATTATAGATCCATGGATGTGTCAGTTATTATTATAGATCCATGGATGTGTCAGTTATTATTATAGATCCATGGATGTGTCAGTTATTATTATAGATAAATGGATGTGTCAGTTATTATTATAGATCCATGGATGTGTCAGTTATTATTATAGATAAATGGATGTTCCAGTTATTATTATAGATAAATGGATGTTCCAGTTATTATTATAGATAAATGGATGTTCCAGTTATTATTATAGATAAATGGATGTGTCAGTTATTATTATAGATAAATGGATGTTCCAGTTATTATTATAGATAAATGGATGTTTCTCTCTCATCAGCAAACACACGTTAATACATTTAGGTCTGATAAAATTAATTTTAAGTGATGCACAAACGAGGGCCATAGCAAATATATAATCCATATCTAATAATCATTTATTGCATATATGTGCATTGTTTACATAAAATATAACTTTGTAAAAACTAATGATTACTGCCAATACAATTGTTATACAGTAACAGAGAAAGTGTAACAACAAAAGCATCCTCTGTTTTTTCAGAATACGATTGTAAACATCCAGGGGGCTCTCATTACCTGAACCCGTGTTTAGACAGCCTGTTCTGGGCTTCAGCACTGCAGCTAACTGGGCTGTTAGCTTATAGCACCGGAGCTTCAGGCTGGAGGTAAAGTCCGAAAATTTTCGAATTTATCTCCAAACAGACTTCTGATATGACAATAGAGGGGGATATTTCTCGCCTCAAATGATATTAGAATTAACTTTTATGTCCTAATTAAAGCGTATTTAGAACTTTTTACCGTCCATCATGGCCGCCGTGTCCTTCCGCTCCGCTCGGAGTTGTGTAGTCACGTGACAAAGGCAGAAGGCAGCTGCTGTCCAAATCCACATCACGTCTCGCCTCCTACCTCGCCTCTGGCTACGCGGCCTTCCCTCGATGCCTACATATCCACCCTACGCGGCCCGATGCCTACCGTTTTGGACACAGCCTGTGTCTACAGTTCTCAATATGAAAGAGAATGAGATGGACATACTTGCCAACTTCCTCGGCCATGACATTCGCATCCACAGGCAATATTACAGACTACCAGAGGGGACACTGGAGCTGGCCAAAATCAGCAAAGTGTTGATGGCCATGGAGCAGGGAAGAGTGACGGAATTCGAAGGAAAGAGCCTCGACCAGATACAAATTGAGCCAGAAGGTAATTCTTGATATTATTAAAATATGTATGATTTTTTTCCCCTAAAGGCCACTTGTATTTTTATTTTCTGTGCGACAGGGAGAGCAGTAGAGATCCTCTCACAAACGGACGGGCTAAAAGAAACTTCAAGCGGAGAACCTTCAACCATTCATCCAGATGCACCCCATGGTAGTGGCAGTGCCCCTTCTGGTAAGTGTACCAGGTGGGGGATTACAGCCAGGCTGCTTGGTCCTAACCCTGGGAGTGTATATTGCTAATATATTTTTATTTCTCTCCCTAGAACGTTAGAGAAAGCCATGGTCTGCATCTGAGGTGAAGGCTGTGGAGAAGACCATGACACCTTTCATACAGACTGGAAAGGTCCCTGGGAAGTCTCACTGCCTGGCCTGGCCTGGCCTGGCCTGCATTAATGCCTCACCAGATGACCTTAGACATCGGACATGGAGTGGCATTAAATTCTATGTCAAAAATAGAATCACTGCAATTCGAAAACAAAATCTAATATAAAAGTCCTTTAAAATAGTTGTTTGGTTTCTATTGACTGTTTTGTATTACTTAAAGTAGTCCCAGTAAAAAAAGATTATGTCTATGGGTCCCATTCTGAACGGCCCTGTCAAAGGGACCCACCAGGTAACAAAAACGTGTATGTGTGTGTATGTGTGTGTGTGTGTGTGTGTGTGTGTGTATATGTGTGTATGGTGTGTGTGTGTGTGTGTGTATGTGTGTATGGTGTGTGTGTGTGTGTGTGTGTGTGTGTGTGTGTGTCCAACTGAAGTCTGCCAAACCTCAGCACTGAGTGAATGATGTGTTTTATTCCAGCTGTAAATACAGTTAAGTATATATAGTATATAATAATATTTACTGTATATATACAGTTATTATTATATACTGTATATATTATAATATATATAAATACAGTTATTCCTGAGAAATATAAATGTAACTGAGGCAGAATGTCATGAAAGGGAAAATGTTGTTGAACAGATGCTTTCATGTTTTAGTTTGTCATTCATTTCTCTGTGACTGAGGACCAGAGACCAGAGAGAGACCAGAGAGAGACCAGAGAGAGACCAGAGAGAGACCAGAGAGAGACCAGAGAGAGACCAGAGAGAGACCAGAGAGAGACCAGAGAGAGACCAGAGAGAGACCAGAGAGAGAGACCAGAGAGAGACCAGAGAGAGACCAGGGAGAGAGACCAGAGAGAGACCAGAGAGAGACCAGAGAGAGACCAGAGAGAGAGACCAGAGAGGGACCAGAGAGAGAGACCAGAGAGAGACCAGAGAGAGAGACCAGAGAGAGAGTGATGTCTGACTCACCTGGGCAGTACAGTAGAACCTCCATCTCTCTGACCGCTTCATGCCTGATGAGCTGCTCCACCCTCCAGCTGAAGAGTGATCCCTGTGATCCCTGTGATCCCTCTGATCCCTGTGATCCCTGTGATCCCTGTGATCCCTGTGATCCCTGTGATCCCTGTGATCCCTGTGATCCATGCGAGCACCCGTAGAGTGCACGCACCTGCCGCCCCTCCAGCGCCCGCGCCCATACGTTCAGGTCCGTCATGTTCCCAAAGAAGGGCTCGGTGAAGTTTCCTCCAAACGAGTCCTGGTCCTGCCCCAGGATGAAGATTCCGTCACCGTGGAGCTCCCTGGAGGTGTCGGCGCCGCGGCCCCGGTCCCCCCGCTCCCCGTCCACATACAGCGCCCACTCCCCATTGGTCCAGGTGACGCACAGGTGATGCCAGGCGCCGTCATTGGGGAAGGACGCCTTGTACGGCAGGTGCTTCCCGTGGATGATGAGCGCAAGCAGTACACGGCCCTGACCGTCCCGCTGGCTGTCCCGCTGGCTGTCCCGCTGGCTGTCCCGCTGGCTGTCCCGCTGGCTGTCCCTCTGACCGTCCCTCTGACCGTCCCGCTGGCCGTCCCGCTGGCCGTCCCGCTGGCCGTCCCGCTGGCCGTCCCGCTGGCCGTCCCGCTGGCCGTCCCTCTGACCGTCCCGCTGGCCGTCCCGCTGGCCGTCCCTCTGACCGTCCCTCTGACTGTCCCTCTGACTGTTGTCCCTCTGACCGTCCCGCTGGCCGTCCCGCTGGCCGTCCCGCTGGCCGTCCCGCTGGCCGTCCCGCTGGCCGTCCCGCTGGCCGTCCCGCTGGCCGTCCCGCTGGCCGTCCCGCTGGCCGTCCCGCTGGCCGTCCCGCTGGCCGTCCCTCTGACCGTCCCGCTGGCTGTCCCTCTGACCGTCCCTCTGACTGTTGTCCCTCTGACCGTCCCGCTGGCCGTCCCGCTGGCCGTCCCGCTGGCCGTCCCGCTGGCCGCGCAGCTGGAACTCGTTGGTGAAGACGGGAGCGGCGTAGGAGAAGATGGTGGACACGTCGCTCCACAGGGGGTCCCACTGCACACGCACACACACACTGAGGCGCGAGAGGCGCGGGAACGAGGCGTTCAGCCGCGCGAAGCCGTCCCGGGGTTCCTTAGGGAAGTTCAGAGCCAAGAACGAAGAATCTGGAGAAAGAACAGAAAGGACATTCACTTCAGTGTGTTTATGTCTTGCTCTAAACCACAGATCCAGGACTGAGGCTGTAGACCCAGGACTGAGGCCTTAGACCCAGGACTGAGGCTGTAGACCCAGGACTGAGGCTGTAGACCCAGGACTGAGGCCTTAGACCCAGGACTGAGGCTGTAGACCCAGGACTGAGGCCTTAGACCCAGGACTGAGGCCGTAGACCCAGGACTGAGGCTGTGGACTGAGGCTGTAGACCCAGGACTGAGGCCGTAGACCCAGGACTGAGGCTGTAGACCCTCCTCAGCTCCTCGGTGCCTTGTGTGTCGTAGATGTATTCATGGACCATTATCTGTTTGTTCAGTCTCTGAGATGATGCTGCTGCGATTTAGGGAAATACAAGAATAGGTCGTATTGTATCGTATCGTTTTGTTTTGTTTTGTTTTGTTTTGCCTGTACCAGATTATATATCACCTTTGAACCATGTGTTTGTGAGATGTACTGAAAACATTGTTTCAATCCAACAGACACATAAACCCTGGTGATGACATTACCCCGAGGTCAACAACACATTCCAGAGAGAGTTTGTGAACGTACACTGTTTGGAGAGAGGCCTGGGAGGGGCGGAGCCGGGACCCTGGACCCAGAGGGGGGGCACCACTCCGGCCTGGTGGAGCAGCCCCTGCAAGGCCACCTGCTCCTGGTCTTGGTCCTGGCCCTGGTCCTGGTCTACAGGGAGCAGATGACTGAAGCGTCCTCTGCAGAAGCTGTCAGCTCTGGGAAAGGGCAGTGAGGCGTTGATGATCTGAAAGGCCCAACGCGACGTCAGCGTCACCACAGAACCTGAAGAAGAAGGTTTAAGACTCATCTGTTATTCTAAGATAATTCTATAGTCTATAGAGATTTACAGATTAGATTCATCTTGACAGTCATTTCAAAGTCAGAACAATGCAACAAGATGCAGTTTAGCCTAAAACAGTAATACAGGAAAATATTTACTACAGTACAGAGCAAAAGTCTGGACACCCTCTCCTTCACTGAGTTCTTTTCATGACTATTGCTGTAGACCCGCACCAGGCTGTGTAAGGGCCGGACCTGAACCCAGTCCAGATGGTTTTGGACCTGAACCCAGTCCAGATGGTTTTGGACCTGAACCCAGTCCAGATGGTTTTGGACCTGAACCCAGTCCAGATGGTTTTGGACCTGAACCCAGTCCAGATGGTTTTGGACCTGAACCCAGTCCAGATGGTTTTGGACCTGAACCCAGTCCAGATGGTTTTGGACCTGAACCCAGTCCAGATGGTTTTGGACCTGAACCCAGTCCAGATGGTTTTGGACCTGAACCCAGTCCAGATGGTTTTGGACCTGAACCCAGTCCAGATGGTTTTGGACCTGAACCCAGTCCAGATGGTTTTGGGGCTGGACCACAGAGTGAAGGGGCCAAGTGCTAAGCATCATGGGAACTCAGACCATTTCAGGTCCTGTTGAAGCTCATCCAGAGAATGCCAAGAGTGAAGCAGTATCAGAGCAAAAGGTTCTACTTTGAAGAACCAGAATATAACACATATTTACACTTGGTTCATACTTTGTTACTACGGACATCATTCACACGAGTTCATCATAGGTTTGAGGCCCTCAGTGTCAGTCTGCAGTTTTCATAATCATGAAGATAAAAAACTCTTTGAATGAGAAGGTGTCCAAACTTTTGCTCTGTGCTGTTCTAATATAATAATAAAATGTTTAAACAGAACTTTTCTGACTCTCAAAGTCTCTTTACATCATTATTCTTTCACTCCGAAAACAGTGATGATAAACTACTGCTGTAGCCACAGCTGCCCTGGGACACACTGACTACCACCACCACCAACCATTCACACACACACCAGACTCATTCTAATGTGGGGGAAGTGTCTTGCCTAAGGACACAACCACAGTTTGGCACTTTACAGCCGCAGCCGCCCCACTGTGGCACCTGCTTTTCAGAGGTCTCCCATCACAGTACTAACCAGGCCCTGCCCTGCTTAGCTTCATAGAACTGACAGGATCTGGCTTTCACCTGCAGGTGGCGCTACGTATATATACAGTGTATGTGAGACTGTACAAAGCTGCTATTGCTCAGTACATCCTGTAGATGTAGCGATCTGTACAGACACAACTGTAGGCGGCTGTGTAGGTGGCTGTGTAGGCGGCTGTGTAGGCGGCTGTGTAGGCGGCTGTGTGGGCGGCTGTGTGGGCGGCTGTGTAGGCTGCTGTGTGGGCGGCTGTGTGGGCTGCTGTGTAGGTGGCTGAGTAGGCGGCTGAGTAGGCGGCTGTGAAGGTGGCTGTGTGGGCGGCTGTGTAGGCGGCTGTGTAGGTGGCTGAGTAGGCGGCTGAGTAGGCGGCTGTGAAGGTGGCTGTGTGGGCGGCTGTGTAGGCGGCTGTGTTGGCGGCTGTGTGGGCGGCAGTGTAGGCGGCTGTGTGGGCGGCTGTGTAGGCTGCTGTGTGGGCGGCTGTGTAGGCTGCTGTGAAGGTGACTGTAGATGGCTGTGTGGGTGGCTGTGAGGGCGGCTGTGTGGGCGGCTGTGTAGGCAGCTGTGTAGGTGTCTGTGTAGGCTGCTGTGTAGGCTGCTGTGTGGGCGGCTGTGTAGGTGTCTGTGTAGGCGGCTGTGTAGGCACTAGGTGGCTGTGTAGGTGTCTGTGTACGCGGCTGTGAAGGTGTCTGTGTAGGCGGCTGTGTAGGCAGCTGTGTAGGTGTCTGTGTACGCGGCTGTGTAGGTGTCTGTGTAGGCTGCTGTGTAGGTGTCTGCGTACGCGGCTGTGTAGGCTGCTGTGTAGGTGTCTGTGTACGCGGCTGTGTAGGCTGCTGTGTAGGTGTCTGTGTACGCGGCTGTGTAGGCTGCTGTGTAGGTGTCTGTGTACGCGGCTGTGAAGGGGGCGTGTCTTACCCTGATGCTCGGCTCTGAGGGGAGTGGGCTCAGCAGCGCCCCCTGCCTGTGACACACAACAGCAGTCATCAGACATGAGCAACATCAGCAGGTGATGGACACAAACATATCTCAGGAGTTTTCATTCACTCAGACTTTACACATTTAACACTAAAGAAACTTTGGTATGACCTCTGACCTCTGGTGTCTCCTTATCCCTGACCTCTGGTGTCTCCTTATCCCTGACCTCTGGTGTCTCCTCCATGACCTCTGGTGTCTCCTTATCCCTGACCTCTGGTGTCTCCTTATCCCTGACCTCTGGTGTCTCCTTATCCCTGACCTCTGGTGTCTCCTTATCCCTGACCTCTGGTGTCTCCTCCATGACCTCTGGTGTCTCCTCCTCCCTGACCTCTGGTGTCTCCTTATCCCTGACCTCTGGTGTCTCCTTATCCCTGACCTCTGGTGTCTCCTTATCCCTGACCTCTGGTGTCTCCTTATCCCTGACCTCTGGTGTCTCCTTATCCCTGACCTCTGGTGTCTCCTTATCCCTGACCTCTGGTGTCTCCTTATCCCTGACCTCTGGTGTCTCCTTATCCCTGACCTCTGGTGTCTCCTTATCCCTGACCTCTGGTGTCTCCTCCCTGACCTCTGGTGTCTCCTTATCCCTGACCTCTGGTGTCTCCTTATCCCTGACCTCTGGTGTCTCCTCCCTGACCTCTGGTGTCTCCTTATCCCTGACCTCTGGTGTCTCCTCCCTGACCTCTGGTGTCTCCTTATCCCTGACCTCTGGTGTCTCCTTATCCCTGACCTCTGGTGTCTCCTTATCCCTGACCTCTGGTGTCTCCTCCCTGACCTCTGGTGTCTCCTTATCCCTGACCTCTGGTGTCTCCTTATCCCTGACCTCTGGTGTCTCCTTATCCCTGACCTCTGGTGTCTCCTCCCTGACCTCTGGTGTCTCCTCCCTGACCTCTGGTGTCTCCTCCCTGACCTCTGGTGTCTCCTTATCCCTGACCTCTGGTGTCTCCTTATCCCTGACCTCTGGTGTCTCCTTATCCCTGACCTCTGGTGTCTCCTCCCTGACCTCTGGTGTCTCCTTATCCCTGACCTCTGGTGTCTCCTTATCCCTGACCTCTGGTGTCTCCTTATCCCTGACCTCTGGTGTCTCCTCTCTGCAGGCCCGTTGGAAGGGCTGTGCGACCTGTGCCGTCGCACAGGGCCTCGCACCAGACAGGGGCCTCGCAATCTTCCTTCTTTTTTTTATAAATACACTAGTTCAAGGGTCCCCAAAGGGCAGACTGCGCTCCAAGTTTGGACCCCTAAACCCCTTTCTCTGGACCTCTTTGATTCCGTTTGATCAAAAGAACATTATTACAAGTAAAGTCAAATTTTCACCAAAAGTGTTTTGTAAACAGGCAGGCGAGAGGGCAGCTATGTACGCAGCGGGTCCTCAGAAACAAACTTTACGGAGCTGTCAGATAACTTTAGCAGTGTCTGAGTGAGATACGAAGAAAGTAACGGGAATGAGCGCAGTAAACGGAGAGATGGATACTCGCGGAGGAGGAGCAGCGAGACAGGAGTGAGCAGAGGAGGAGGAGGAGCAGCGAGACAGGAGTGAGCAGAGGAGGAGGAGGAGCAGCGAGACAGGAGTGAGCAGAGGAGGAGGAGGAGCAGCGAGACAGGAGTGAGCAGAGGAGGAGCAGCGAGACAGGTGTGAGCAGAGGAGGAGGAGGAGCAGCGAGACAGGTGTGAGCAGAGGAGGAGCAGCGAGACAGGAGTGAGCAGAGGAGGAGCAGCGAGACAGGAGTGAGCAGAGGAGGAGCAGCGAGACAGGTGTGAGCAGAGGAGGAGCAGCGAGACAGGTGTGAGCAGAGGAGGAGCAGCGAGACAGGTGTGAGCAGAGGAGGAGCAGCGAGACAGGAGTGAGCAGAGGAGGAGCAGCGAGACAGGTGTGAGCAGAGGAGGAGGAGGAGCAGCGAGACAGGTGTGAGTAGAGGAGGAGCAGCGAGACAGGAGTGAGCAGAGGAGGAGGAGGAGCAGCGAGACAGGTGTGAGCAGAGGAGGAGCAGCGAGACAGGTGTGAGCAGAGGAGGAGCAGCGAGACAGGTGTGAGCAGAGGAGGAGGAGGAGCAGCGAGACAGGAGTGAGCAGAGGAGGAGGAGGAGCAGCGAGACAGGAGTGAGCAGAGGAGGAGCAGCGAGACAGGTGTGAGCAGAGGAGGAGCAGCGAGACAGGAGTGAGCAGAGGAGGAGCAGCGAGACAGGAGTGAGCAGAGGAGGAGCAGCAAGACAGGTGTGAGCAGAGGAGGAGCAGCGAGACAGGAGTGAGCAGAGGAGGAGCAGCGAGACAGGTGTGAGCAGAGGAGGAGGAGGAGCAGCGAGACAGGTGTGAGCAGAGGAGGAGCAGCGAGACAGGAGTGAGCAGAGGAGGAGGAGGAGCAGCGAGACAGGTGTGAGCAGAGGAGGAGCAGCGAGACAGGTGTGAGCAGAGGAGGAGGAGGAGCAGCGAGACAGGTGTGAGCAGAGGAGGAGCAGCGAGACAGGTGTGAGCAGAGGAGGAGGAGGAGCAGCGAGACAGGTGTGAGCAGAGGAGCAGCGAGACAGGTGTGAGCAGAGGAGGAGCAGCGAGACAGATGTGAGCAGAGGAGGAGGAGGAGCAGCGAGACAGGTGTGAGCAGAGGAGGAGGAGGAGCAGCGAGACAGGTGTGAGCAGAGGAGGAGGAGGAGCAGCGAGACAGGTGTGAGCAGAGGAGGAGGAGGAGCAGCGAGACAGGTGTGAGCAGAGGAGGAGGAGGAGCAGCGAGACAGGTGTGAGCAGAGGAGGAGGAGCAGCGAGACAGGTGTGAGCAGAGGAGGAGGAGGAAGCAGCGAGACAGGTGTGAGCAGAGGAGGAGGAGGAGCAGCGAGACAGGTGTGAGCAGAGGAGGAGGAGGAGCAGCGAGACAGGTGTGAGCAGAGGAGGAGGAGGAGCAGCGAGACAGGTGTGAGCAGAGGGGGAGGAGGAGCAGCGAGACAGGTGTGAGCAGAGGAGGAGGAGCAGCGAGACAGGTGTGAGCAGAGGAGGAGGAGGAGCAGCGAGACAGGTGTGAGCAGAGGAGGAGGAGCAGCGAGACAGGTGTGAGCAGAGGAGGAGGAGGAGCAGCGAGACAGGTGTGAGCAGAGGAGGAGGAGCAGCGAGACATCAAAAACATATTATAAAAGCACTAGCAAACACCTCATGTGCTCTGTGTTCATGTGCAGATGGAAACATCAAACTCTACATGTCTGCATTAGATCATACAGGATCTATACTAGCTCCTTTAGTATGGATCTATACTAGCTCCTTTAGTATGGATCTATACTAGCTCCATCCTGTAGTAGAACTTTAGGCCTGGTTTACAGAGTGACAGTGATGGACACACTGATAAAGCATTCAGAATTTCACTCTGAACCAGAGCAGAGAAAGTGCTCCTAAACGAGGAGCTAAATGCTAAGTGCTAAATGCTAAGAGCTGCTGTGATCTCACATTAAGGCCCACACTGCTCACGTCTGTGTCCAAGTGCTGCATATTGAAATTATTTACATAAAAATGCAACAATTGGAACTCGAGATCTGAAGAATCGGTCACGACGTAAAAAGACTGATGTTTAAATCTTCAAACACAACTGTCTTCAGCTAAACACAGAAACAACACCTGTGTCCCAAAAGCAGAGACTTTGGTCCAATTATCAACGTTTTCTCATTTATCAAAGTTTTCTCATTTATCAAAGTTTTCTCATTTATCAAAGTTTCAGAAAACAGTGTATATTTTTGGTGAATATTCCGTTTACGGCAGACTTAACGTGGGATTTATGAACGTGTGAGGTCCGCACAGATCGTACGCAGCCGCGGTGAAAACCGGTATTTATGAAAGTCACGCTTAGAAATATTCAGAAAACGCGCCGTTTCTACGACACTCAGCAGGAAGTCAGAAAGTGTAGTTGGAAGAGGAGCCGGAGGTGAATGAGACCAAACAGCTGTGAGTGATTACGCAGAGTCTGCTACAGACACATGAAGGCAGTGAGGTAGTCAGGTTTATTTGTGTGGCGCCTTCACAAAACATACACACAAGTCAGAATTGAACGAAGAAACAGCAGCGGGTCCTCATGAACGTGTCTGTGAACGTGTCTGTGAACGTGTCTGTGAACGTGTCTGTGAACGTGTCTGTGAACGTGTCTGTGAACGTGTCTGTGAACGTGTCTGTGAACGTGTCATGAACGTGTCTGTGAACGTGTCATGAACGTGTCATGAACGTGTCTGTGAACGTGTCTGTGAACGTGTCATGAACGTGTCATGAACGTGTCTGTGAACGTGTCTGTGAACGTGTCTGTGAACGTGTCATGAACGTATCTGTGAACGTGTCATGAACGTGTCATGAACGTGTCTGTGAACGTGTCTGTGAACGTGTCTGTGAACGTGTCATGAACGTGTCTGTGAACGTGTCATGAACGTATCTGTGAACGTGTCATGAACGTGTCATGAACGTGTCTGTGAACGTGTCTGTGAACGTGTCTGTGAACGTGTCATGAACGTGTCTGTGAACGTGTCTGTGAACGTGTCTGTGAACGTGTCATGAACGTGTCATGAACGTATCTGTGAACGTGTCTGTGAACGTGTCTGTGAACGTGTCTGTGAACGTGTCATGAACGTGTCTGTGAACGTGTCATGAACTGTCTGTGAACGTGTCATGAACGTGTCTGTGAACGTGTCTGTGAACGTGTCATGAACGTGTCATGAACGTGTCTGTGAACGTGTCTGAACGTGTCTGAACGTGTCATGAACGTGTCTGTGAACGTGTCTGTGAACGTGTCATGAACGTGTCTGAACGTGTGAACGTGTCTGTGAAGTGTCTGTGAACGTGTCTATGAACGTGTCATGAACGTGTCTGTGAACGTGTCATGAACGTGTCATGAACGTGTCATGAACGTGTCTGTGAACGTGTCTGTGAACGTGTCATGAACGTGTCATGAACGTGTCTGTGAACGTGTCTGTGAACGTGTCTGTGAACGTGTCATGAACGTGTCTGTGAACGTGTCTGTGAACGTGTCTGTGAACGTGTCATGAACGTGTCTGTGAACGTGTCATGAACGTATCTGTGAACGTGTCATGAACGTGTCTGTGAACGTGTCATGAACGTGTCATGAACGTGTCTGTGAACGTGTCATGAACGTGTCTGTGAACGTGTCTGTGAACGTGTCATGAACGTATCTGTGAACGTGTCTGTGAACGTGTCTGTGAACGTGTCTGTGAACGTGTCATGAACGTGTCTGTGAACGTGTCATGAACGTGTCATGAACGTGTCATGAACGTGTCATGAACGTGTCATGAACGTGTCTGTGAACGTGTCATGAACGTGTCATGAACGTGTCTGTGAACGTGTCTGTGAACGTGTCTGTGAACGTGTCTGTAAACTTGTCTGTGAACGTGTCATGAACGTGTCTGTGAACGTGTCATGAACGTGTCATGAACGTGTCTGTGAACGTGTCTGTGAACGTGTCATGAACGTGTCATGAACGTGTCATGAACGTGTCTGTGAACGTGTCTGTGAACGTGTCTGTGAACGTGTCATGAACGTGCCTGTGAACGTGTCATGAACATGTCATGAACGTGCCATGAACGTGTCTGTGAACGTGTCATGAACGTGTCTGTGAACGTGTCTGTGAACGTGTCATGAACGTGTCATGAACGTGTCATGAACGTGTCTGTGAACGTGTCATGAACGTGTCATGAACGTGTCATGAACGTGTCTGTGAACGTGTCATGAACGTGTCTGTGAACGTGTCTGTGAACGTGTCATGAACGTGTCATGAACGTGTCATGAACGTGTCATGAACGTGTCATGAACGTGTCATGAACGTGTCATGAACGTGTCTGTGAACGTGTCATGAACGTGTCATGAACGTGTCTGTGAACGTGTCTGTGAACGTGTCTGTGAACGTGTCTGTGAACGTGTCTGTGAACGTGTCATGAACGTGCCTGTGAACGTGTCATGAACATGTCATGAACGTGTCATGAACGTGTCTGTGAACGTGTCATGAACATGTCTGTGAACGTGTCTGTGAACGTGTCATGAACGTCTCATGAACGTGTCTGTGAACGTGTCATGAACGTGTCTGTGAACGTGTCATGAACGTGTCTGTGAACGTGTCATGAACGTGTCTGTGAACGTGTCTGTGAACGTGTCGTGAACTGTCGTGAACGTGTCATGAACGTGTCTGTGAACGTGTCATGAACGTGTCTGTGAACGTGTCATGAACGTGTCTGTGAACGTGTCATGAACGTGTCTGTGAACGTGTCATGAACGTGTCATGAACGTGTCTGTGAACGTGTCATGAACGTGTCTGTGAACGTGTCTGTGAACTTGTCTGTGAACGTGTCATGAACGTGTCTGTGAACGTGTCTGTGAACGTGTCATGAACGTGTCATGAACGTGTCATGAACGTGTCTGTGAACGTGTCTGTGAACGTGTCATGAACGTGTCTGTGAACGTGTCATGAACGTGCCTGTGAACGTGTCATGAACATGTCATGAACGTGCCATGAACGTGTCTGTGAACGTGTCATGTCAAACGTGTCATGAACGTGTCATGAACGTGTCTGTGAACGTGTCATGAACGTGTCATGAACGTGTCATGAACGTGTCTGTGAACGTGTCATGAACATGTCTGTGAACGTGTCTGTGAACGTGTCATGAACATGTCTGTGAACGTGTCATGAACGTGTCATGAACGTGTCTGTGAACGTGTCATGAACGTGTCTGTGAACGTGTCATGAACGTGTCATGAACGTGTCTGTGAAACGTGTCATGAACATGTCTGTGAACGTGTCTGTGAACGTGTCATGAACATGTCTGTGAACGTGTCATGAACGTGTCTGTGAACGTGTCATGAACGTGTCATGAACGTGTCTGTGAACGTGTCTGTGAACGTGTCATGAACGTGTCATGAGCGTGTCATGAACGTGTCTGTGAACGTGTCATGAACGTGTCATGAGCGTGTCATGAACGTGTCTGTGAACGTGTCTGTGAACGTGATCTAACTGTGATCGATACGAAATGTGCGTGTTTTCAGAGTGTTAGACTTTTTCTGATGATTTAGAAACAAGATGCTCAAAGAAAACACAGGATACAATGTTGCCAGAGGGAATGTGTTTATTGTTGTCCAAATCTTGCATTTCATGCGTGTTGTGCCGAAGGCTGAGATCAGCGTATTTACACCTTCAGACCCGGCGTGTATTTGCTCACGTCCAGATTAATGAATTCCAAAAAGTGTAAATATTTTGCGTACGCCTCATTTGGGCGTGCGCAAGTTTCATACATGAGACCCACTGTGTCAAATCATCTTCAATCCCTCCTCTTCAAAACTTCAGATCAGGTCCAATCCAGGTCTGAAACTGGACTCAGACCTGAAGTTTAACATCAGGTCTGAGTCCGGTTTTTATCACATCGTCAGGATCAAAGACTGATGTTTAAAGAAGACAAACTCTAACAGCTGCTCCAACTAGAACCAGGAAATCCTCTCACATTAGTCCTGTTCTCAGGTCTCTGTCCTGAAGTCCTCTCACATTAGTCCTGGTCTCAGGTCTCTGTCCTGAAGTCCTCTCACATTAGTCCTGGTCTCAGGTCTCTGTCCTGAAGTCCTCTCACATTAGTCCTGGTCTCAGGTCTCTGTCCTGAAGTCCTCTCACATTAGTCCTGGTCTCAGGTCTCTGTCCTGAAGTCCTCTCACATTAGTCCTGGTCTCAGGTCTCTGTCCTGAAGTCCTCTCACATTAGTCCTGGTCTCAGGTCTCTGTCCTGAAGTCCTCTCACATTAGTCCTGGCTCAGGTCTCTGTCCTGAAGTCCTCTCACATTAGTCCTGGTCTCAGGTCTCTGTCCTGAAGTCCTCTCACATTAGTCCTGGTCTCAGGTCTCTGTCCTGAAGTCCTCTCACATTAGTCCTGGTCTCAGGTCTCTGTCCTGAAGTCCTCTCACATTAGTCCTGGTCTCAGGTCTCTGTCCTGAAGTCCTCTCACATTAGTCCTGGTCTCAGGTCTCCATGGCCTCTCACCAAAGTACATCTGTGACATGTTAGTGTCATATGAACCAACTCTGAGGAGCACAGGGACTTTTCTTTTTTATGAAATTTAAATTGCTCTTGTGAAGCACTTTGAATTGCCTTGCCTGCAGCACCCCCCAGTGGAGGACAGAGGGACTGCAGGAGCCCCCTCCGTTTAAGCAAAGCAACTATGTCTCCCACAAAAATGTCTTTATGAATGTAATGAAAGAACTGGCAACTGAGGGTCTCCATGATGCTCTACGAATGGGCTCTCCCTGGTCTCTCTCTCTGGTCTCTCTCTGGTCTCACTCTGGTCTCCCTCTCTCTCTGGTCTCTCTCTCTGGTCTCTCTCTCTGGCCTCTGTCTGGTCTCTTTCTGGTCTCTCTCTGGTCTCTCTCTCTGGTCTCTCTCTGGTCTCTCTCTGGCCTCTCTCTGGTCTCTCTCTGGTCTCTCTCTGGTCTCTGTCTGGCCTCTCTCTGGTCTCTTTCTGGTCTCTCTCTGGTCTCTCTCTCTGGTCTCTCTCTCTGGTCTCTCTCTGGTCTCTCTCTCTGGTCTCTCTCTGGTCTCTCTCTCTGGTCTCTCTCTGGTCTCTCTCTCTGGTCTCTCTCTGGTCTCTCTCTCTGGCCTCTGTCTGGTCTCTCTCTGGTCTCTGTCTGGTCTCTCTCTGGTCTCTCTCTGGTCTCTCTCTGGTCTCTCTCTGGTCTCTCTCTCTGGTCTCTCTCTCTGGTCTCTCTCTGGTCTCTCTCTCTGGTCTCTCTCTGGTCTCTCTCTCTGGTCTCTCTCTGGTCTCTCTCTGGTCTCACTCTGGTCTCTCTCTGGTCTCTCTCTGGTCTCTCTCTCTGGTCTCACTCTGGTGTCTCTCTCTGGTCTCTCTCTGGTCTCTCTCTGGTCTCTCTCTGGTCTCTCTCTGGTCTCTCTCTGGTCTCTGTCTGGTCTCTCTCTGGTCTCTCTCTGGTTTCTCTCTGGTCTCTCTCTCTGGTCTCTCTCTGGTCTCTCTCTGGTCTCTCTCTGGTCTCACTCTGGTCTCACTCTGGTCTCTCTCTGGTCTCTCTCTGGTCTCACTCTGGTCTCTCTCTGGTCTCTCTCTGGTCTCTCTCTGGTCTCTCTCTGGTCTCTCTCTGGTCTCTCTCTGGTCTCTCTCTGGTCATGGCACAGTCTGGGAGGCTACGTTTTACTTGAAACAGTCAAAACTTTGATTCATTTATAAATAAATGTGTGTTATATTTCCTTCTTAGTGCTAACGTCGTTTCCTCATAATAGTTTATGAAGATTCATCTTGTTTTCTTTTCAGAGCCCAATACTTTTAATCTCCCCATAATGAAAACAAACCACACATGAGGAATGTGTCTGGCTCCCTCTGCTGGTGTGAGCTTGTATTACAATTATTTATCTGTATTTATGTTTTATAATGGATAAAGAAATACAAGACCCAGACCAGACCCAGACCAAATCCAGACCAGAGCAGACCAGAGCAGACCAGAGCAGACCCGACCAGACCCGACCAGACCCGACCTAGACGTGTTGGGTTTGTGTCTTGTCCCTCTTCCACCACTAGATGGCAGTGTTGCTGATTCTGTGGAGTCTCTGACATCAGAACAGAACATTGTGGAGGTGTTTTTTGTGGTGTGAGAAATGGGCCATATAAATAACCTTTACTCACTTACTGTGAAGGAAGACCTCTGTAGCTAAGCATGGCAGGGCCTGGTTAGTACCGTGATGGGAGACCTCTGGGAACCCCACAGTGCAGAGAGTAGAGTAGAGTAGAGTAGAGTAGAGTAGAGTAGAGTAGAGGGCTGAACTTCCACTTTACCCTTTAACATTCACTCCTTGAAGAAAGCGTTTCTCTTTTCTGATAAATGATTTTAGATGCAGTTTGATGGAGAAGTGAAGGCAACAAAGAGGTATATTTCAGATTCCAAGGGTCGAGGAAACCTTTCAAGGGTTAAACTTCAGTTTTATTATTGCACTACAACTATTACAGACTCTGTAATGAGCTCAAGTCACACAGGTGGAGCTCGGAGTAGAGACGCGGCTCCGTTAGAAACCAAGTGAGGAGCTCAGTCACATGGAAGGAGCTCAGAGTAGACTGCTGCTCCTCCATGTGGAGAGGAGCTCAGTGTAGACTGCTGCTCCTCCATGTGGAGAGGAGCTCAGTGTAGACTGCTGCTCCTCCATGTGGAGAGGAGCCAGTTGAGGAAGCTCAGGCATCTGTTTGGTATGCCTCCTGGATGCATCCCAAACAGATACTCAGACATGAGACCCAGGACTCAGAGGGAGGAGATCAGGAGGAGACCCAGGACTCAGAGGGAGGAGATCAGGAGGAGACCCAGGACTCAGAGGGAGGAGATCAGGAGGAGACCCAGGACTCAGAGGGAGAAGATCAGGAGGAGACCCAGGACTCAGAGGGAGGAGATCAGGAGGAGACCCAGGACTCAGAGGGAGGAGATCAGGAGGAGACCCAGGACTCAGAGGGATGAGACCCAGGACTCAGAGGGAGGAGATCAGGAGGAGACCCAGGACTCAGAGGGAGGAGATCAGGAGGAGACCCAGGACTCAGAGGGAGGAGATCAGGAGGAGACCCAGGACTCAGAGGGAGGAGATCAGGAGGAGACCCAGGATTCAGAGGGAGGAGACCAGGAGGAGACCCAGGACTCAGAGGGAGGAGATCAGGAGGAGACCCAGGACTCAGAGGGAGGAGATCAGGAGGAGACCCAGGACTCAGAGGGAGGAGATCAGGAGGAGACCCAGGATTCAGAGGGAGAAGATCAGGAGGAGACCCAGGATTCAGAGGGAGGAGACCAGGAGGCGACCCAGGACTCAGAGGGAGGAGACCCAGGACTCAGAGGGAGGAGACCCAGGACTCAGAGGGAGGAGATCAGGAGGAGACCCAGGACTCAGAGGGAGGAGATCAGGAGGAGACCCAGGATTCAGAGGGAGAAGATCAGGAGGAGACCCAGGACTCAGAGGGAGGAGATCAGGAGGAGACCCAGGACTCAGAGGGAGGAGATCAGGAGGAGACCCAGGACTCAGAGGGAGGAGATCAGGAGGAGACCCAGGACTCAGAGGGAGGAGATCAGGAGGAGACCCAGGATTCAGAGGGAGGAGACCAGGAGGAGACCCAGGACTCAGAGGGAGGAGATCAGGAGGAGACCCAGGACTCAGAGGGAGGAGATCAGGAGGAGACCCAGGACTCAGAGGGAGGAGATCAGGAGGAGACCCAGGACTCAGAGGGAGGAGATCAGGAGGAGACCCAGGATTCAGAGGGAGGAGACCAGGAGGAGACCCAGGACTCAGAGGGAGGAGATCAGGAGGAGACCCAGGATTCAGAGGGAGGAGACCAGGAGGCGACCCAGGACTCAGAGGGAGGAGACCCAGGACTCAGAGGGAGGAGATCAGGAGGAGACCCAGGACTCAGAGGGAGGAGACCCAGGACTCAGAGGGAGGAGATCAGGAGGAGACCCAGGACTCAGAGGGAGGAGATCAGGAGGAGACCCAGGATTCAGAGGGAGGAGACCAGGAGGAGACCCAGGACTCAGAGGGAGGAGATCAGGAGGAGACTCAGGACTCAGAGGGAGGAGATCAGGAGGAGACCCAGGAATCAGAGGGAGGAGACCAGGAGGCGACCCAGGACTCAGAGGGAGGAGACCAGGAGGCGACCCAGGACTCAGAGGGAGGAGACCAGGAGGCGACCCAGGACTCAGAGGGAGGAGATCAGGAGGAGACCCAGGATTCAGAGGGAGGAGACCAGGAGGAGACCCAGGACTCAGAGGGAGGAGATCAGGAGGAGACTCAGGACTCAGAGGGAGGAGATCAGGAGGAGACCCAGGAATCAGAGGGAGGAGACCAGGAGGCGACCCAGGACTCAGAGGGAGGAGACCAGGAGGCGACCCAGGACTCAGAGGGAGGAGACCCAGGACTCAGAGGGAGGAGATCAGGAGGAGACCCAGGACTCAGAGGGAGGAGACCCAGGACTCAGAGGGAGGAGATCAGGAGGAGACCCAGGACTCAGAGGGAGGAGATCAGGAGGAGACCCAGGATTCAGAGGGAGGAGACCAGGAGGCGACCCAGGACTCAGAGGGAGGAGATCAGGAGGAGACCTAGGATTCAGCGGGAGGAGAACAGGAGGCGACCCAGTACTCAGAGGGAGGAGACCAGGAGGAGACCCAGGATTCAGAGGGAGGAGACCAGGAGGAGACCCAGGACTCAGAGGGAGGAGATCAGGAGGAGACCCAGGACTCAGAGGGAGGAGACCAGGGAGGCGACCCAAGACTCAGAGGGAGGAGACCAGGAGGAGACCCAGGACTCAGAGGGAGGAGACCAGGAGGCGACCCAGGACTCAGAGGGAGGAGACCCAGGACTCAGAGGGAGGAGACCAGGAGGAGACCCAGGACTCAGAGGGAGGAGATCAGGAGGAGACCCAGGATTCAGAGGGAGGAGATCAGGAGGAGTCCTAGGATTCAGAGGGAGGAGACCAGGAGGCGACCCAGGACTCAGAGGGAGGAGATCAGGAGGAGACCCAGGACTCAGAGGGGGGAGATCAGGAGGAGACCCAGGACTCAGAGGGAGGAGACCAGGAGGAGACTCAGGATTCAGAGGGAGGAGACCAGGAGGCGACCCAGGACTCAGAGGGAGGAGACCAGGAGGAGACCCAGGACTCAGAGGGAGGAGACCAGGAGGAGACTCAGGATTCAGAGGGAGGAGACCAGGAGGCGACCCAGGACTCAGAGGGAGGAGACCAGGAGGAGACCCAGGACTCAGAGGGAGGAGACCAGGAGGAGACTCAGGATTCAGAGGGAGGAGACCAGGAGGAGACCCAAGACTCAGAGGGAGGAGACCAGGAGGAGACCCAGGACTCAGCGGGAGGAGATCAGGAGGCGACCCAGGACTCAGAGGGAGGAGACCCAGGACTCAGAGGGAGGAGACCAGGAGGAGACCCAGGACTCAGAGGGAGGAGATCAGGAGGAGACCCAGGATTCAGAGGGAGGAGATCAGGAGGAGACCTAGGATTCAGAGGGAGGAGACCAGGAGGCGACCCAGGACTCAGAGGGAGGAGATCAGGAGGAGACCCAGGACTCAGAGGGGGGAGATCAGGAGGAGACCCAGGACTCAGAGGGAGGAGATCAGGAGGAGACCCAGGACTCAGAGGGAGGAGACCAGGAGGAGACTCAGGATTCAGAGGGAGGAGACCAGGAGGCGACCCAGGACTCAGAGGGAGGAGACCAGGAGGCGACCCAGGACTCAGAGGGAGGAGACCAGGAGGAGACCCAGGACTCAGAGGGAGGAGACCCAGGACTCAGAGGGAGGAGATCAGGAGGAGACCCAGGACTCAGAGGGAGGAGACCAGGAGGAGACCCAGGACACAGAGGGAGGAGATCAGGAGGCGACCCAAGACTCAGAGGGAGGAGACCAGGAGGCGACCCAGGACTCAGAGGGAGGAGATCAGGAGGAGACCCAGGACTCAGAGGGAGGAGACCAGGAGGAGACTCAGGACTCAGAGGGAGGAGATCAGGAGGCGACCCAAGACTCAGAGGGAGGAGACCCAGGACTCAGAGGGAGGAGACCAGGAGGAGACCCAGGACTCAGAGGGAGGAGACCAGCAGGAGACCCAGGACACAGAGGGAGGAGACCAGGAGGAGACCCAGGGCCTAGAGGAACTTTCTCCGGCCTGGGACTGAGTCTCAGGACTAGGTGTCAGGACTGGGTCTCAGGACTAGGTCTCATGTCTGGGTCTCAGAACTGGGTCTCAGGACTAGGTCTCATGTCTGGGTCTCAGAACTGGGTCTCAGGACTGGGTCTCAGGACTGGGTCTCAGGACTGGTCTCAGGACTGGGTCTCAGGTCTGGGTCTCAGGACCAGGTCTGGGTCTCAGGTCTGGGTCTCAGGTTTGGGTCTCAGGTTTGGGTCTCAGGACTGGGTCTCAGGTCTGGGTCTCAGGACTGGGTCTCAGGTCTGGGTCTCAGGTCTGGGTCTCAGGACTGGGTCTCAGGTCTGGGTCTCAGGTCTGGGTCTCAGGACTGGGTCTCAGGTCTGGGTCTCAGGACTGGGTCTCAGGACTGGGTCTCAGGTCTGGGTCTCAGGACTGGGTCTCAGGTCTGGGTCTCAGGACCAGGTCTGGGTCTCAGGTCTGGGTCTCAGGTTTGGGTCTCAGGTTTGGGTCTCAGGACTGGGTCTCAGGTCTGGGTCTCAGGTCTGGGTCTCAGGTCTGGGTCTCAGGTCTGGGTCTCTGGACCAGGTCTCAGGTCTGGGTCTCAGGTCTGGGTCTCAGGTCTGGGTCTCAGGTCTGGGTCTCTGGACCAGGTCTCAGGTCTGGGTCTCAGGTCTGGGTCTCAGGTCTGGGTCTCAGGTCTGGGTCTCAGATCTGGGTCTCTGGACCAGGTCCCAGGTCTGGGTCTCAGGTCTGGGTCTCTGGACCAGGTCTCAGGTCTGGGTCTCAGGTCTGGGTCTCAGGTCTGGGTCTCAGGTCCGGGTCTCAGGTCTGGGTCTCAGGTCTGGGTCTCTGGACCAGGTCTCAGGTCTGGGTCTCAGGTCTGGGTCTCAGGTCTGGGTCTCAGGTCTGGGTCTCTGGACCAGGTCTCAGGTCTGGGTCTCAGGTCTGGGTCTCAGGTCTGGGTCTCAGGTCTGGGTCTCTGGACCAGGTCCCAGGTCTGGGTCTCAGGTCTGGGTCTCTGGACCAGGTCTCAGGTCTGGGTCTCAGGACTGGGTCTCAGGTTTGGGTCTCAGGTTTGGGTCTCAGGACTGGGTCTCAGGTCTGGGTCTCAGGACTGGGTCTCAGGTCTGGGTCTCAGGTCTGGGTCTCAGGTCTGGGTCTCAGGTCTGGGTCTCAGGTCTGGGTCTCTGGACCAGGTCTCAGGTCTGGGTCTCAGGTCTGGGTCTCAGGTCTGGGTCTCTGGACCAGGTCTCAGGTCTGGGTCTCAGGTCTGGGTCTCAGGTCTGGGTCTCAGGTCTGGGTCTCAGGACTGGGTCTCAGGTCTGGGTCTCAGGTCTGGGTCTCAGGACTGGGTCTCAGGACTGGGTCTCAGGACTGGGTCTCAGGTCTGGGTCTCAGGACTGGGTCTCAGGACTGGGTCTCAGGACTGGGTCTCAGGTCTGGGTCTCTGGACCAGGTCTCAGGTCTGGGTCTCAGGTCTGGGTCTCAGGTCTGGGTCTCTGGACCAGGTCTCAGGTCTGGGTCTCAGGACGGGTCTCAGGTTTGGGTCTCAGGTTTGGGTCTCAGGACTGGGTCTCAGGTCTGGGTCTCAGGACTGGGTCTCAGGTCTGGGTCTCAGGTCTGGGTCTCAGGTCTGGGTCTCAGGTCTGGGTCTCAGGTCTGGGTCTCAGGTCTGGGTCTCTGGACCAGGTCTCAGGTCTGGGTCTCAGGACTGGGTCTCAGGTCTGGGTCTCAGGTCTGGGTCTCAGGTCTAGGTCTCTGGACCAGGTCTCAGGTCTGGGTCTCAGGTCTGGGTCTCAGGTTTGGGTCTCAGGTTTGGGTCTCAGGACTGGGTCTCAGGTCTGGGTCTCAGGACTGGGTCTCAGGTCTGGGTCTCAGGTCTGGGTCTCAGGTCTGGGTCTCAGGTCTGGGTCTCAGGTCTGGGTCTCAGGTCTGGGTCTCTGGACCAGGTCTCAGGTCTGGGTCTCAGGTCTGGGTCTCAGGTCTGGGTCTCTGGACCAGGTCTCAGGTCTGGGTCTCAGGTCTGGGGTCTCAGGTCTGGGTCTCAGGTCTGGGTCTCTGGACCATGTCTCAGGTCTGGGTCTCAGGTCTGGGTCTCAGGTCTGGGTCTCTGGACCAGGTCTCAGGTCTGGGTCTCAGGTCTGGGTCTCAGGTCTGGGTCTCAGGTCTGGGTCTCTGGACCAGGTCTCAGGTCTGGGTCTCAGGTCTGGGTCTCAGGTCCGGGTCTCAGGTCTGGGTCTCAGGTCTGGGTCTCTGGACCAGGTCTCAGGTCTGGGTCTCAGGTCTGGGTCTCAGGTCTGGGTCTCAGGTCTGGGTCTCAGGTCCGGGTCTCAGGTCTGGGTCTCAGGTCTGGGTCTCTGGACCAGGTCTCAGGTCTGGGTCTCAGGTCTGGGTCTCAGGTCTGGGTCTCAGGTCTGGGTCTCAGGTCTGGGTCTCTGGACCAGGTCTCAGGTCTGGGTCTCAGGTCTGGGTCTCAGGTCTGGGTCTCTGGACCAGGTCTCAGGTCTGGGTCTCAGGTCTGGGTCTCAGGTCTGGGTCTCAGGTCTGGGTCTCAGGTCCGGGTCTCAGGTCTGGGTCTCAGGTCTGGGTCTCTGGACCAGGTCTCAGGTCTGGGTCTCAGGTCTGGGTCTCAGGTCTGGGTCTCAGGTCTGGGTCTCAGGTCTGGGTCTCTGGACCAGGTCTCAGGTCTGGGTCTCAGGTCTGGGTCTCAGGTCCGGGTCTCAGGTCTGGGTCTCAGGTCTGGGTCTCAGGTCTGGGTCTCAGGTCTGGGTCTCAGGTCTGGGTCTCAGGACTGGGTCTCAGGACTGGGTCTCAGGTCTGGGTCTCAGGTCTGGGTCTCTGGACCAGGTCTCAGGTCTGGGTCTCAGGTCTGGGTCTCAGGTCTGGGTCTCTGGACCAGGTCTCAGGTCTGGGTCTCAGGACTGGGTCTCAGGTTTGGGTCTCAGGTTTGGGTCTCAGGACTGGGTCTCAGGTCTGGGTCTCAGGACTGGGTCTCAGGTCTGGGTCTCAGGTCTGGGTCTCAGGTCTGGGTCTCAGGTCTGGGTCTCAGGTCTGGGTCTCAGGTCTGGGTCTCTGGACCAGGTCTCAGGTCTGGGTCTCAGGACTGGGTCTCAGGTCTGGGTCTCAGGTCTGGGTCTCAGGTCTAGGTCTCTGGACCAGGTCTCAGGTCTGGGTCTCAGGTCTGGGTCTCAGGTTTGGGTCTCAGGTTTGGGTCTCAGGACTGGGTCTCAGGTCTGGGTCTCAGGACTGGGTCTCAGGTCTGGGTCTCAGGTCTGGGTCTCAGGTCTGGGTCTCAGGTCTGGGTCTCAGGTCTGGGTCTCAGGTCTGGGTCTCTGGACCAGGTCTCAGGTCTGGGTCTCAGGTCTGGGTCTCTGGACCAGGTCTCAGGTCTGGGTCTCAGGTCTGGGTCTCAGGTCTGGGTCTCAGGTCTGGGTCTCTGGACCATGTCTCAGGTCTGGGTCTCAGGTCTGGGTCTCAGGTCTGGGTCTCTGGACCAGGTCTCAGGTCTGGGTCTCAGGTCTGGGTCTCAGGTCTGGGTCTCAGGTCTGGGTCTCAGGTCTGGGTCTCTGGACCAGGTCTCAGGTCTGGGTCTCAGGTCTGGGTCTCAGGTCTGGGTCTCAGGTCTGGGTCTCAGGTCTGGGTCTCTGGACCAGGTCTCAGGTCTGGGTCTCAGGTCTGGGTCTCAGGTCCGGGTCTCAGGTCTGGGTCTCAGGTCTGGGTCTCAGGTCTGGGTCTCAGAGATTGCAGAGTCTAAACCTCGTCGTTGATCGGACAAAGCGGAGCCTCAGATCAGACGTGTTTCTCTGTGTTCTATTGATTGATCGCTTCTCAGGGGTTTTTAATCTCGCACCGAAGACCTGCAGGGATTAAAGCTTGCCCTGAACACGTGCTGCTGGATCCTCTCGCTCTGAGCTGGAACAGACTCGGGGAAGAACTGAGCTTTTAACGATGGACTCCTTTTGTTTGGGGAGTTTTATTGTTGCTGAGAAAGTGGGTTAGTGTCACAGCAGCATTAGACCCTGGACTGGGGCTGGGGCCGGACCTGGGGCTGGGGCCGGACCCTGGCCTGGTCTTCGCAGTGACCCCTCCCTCTGGGCTCTCTGTGGTCTGTATGTGGCTGTAAAGGGGTCTCTGTGGTCTCTGTGGTAACGCGGTGGCATTGGCCCCTGTCCCGGTCTCTTCAGTCCAGCTCTGATTGATGGAGCAGCAGCAGCAGTAAAGTCAGCCTGCTGCAGCCAGATTAGACCTGACCTGAACCAGGGCCCACAGACCAGGGCCCACAGACCAGGGCCCACAGACCAGGGCCCACAGACCAGGGCCCACAGACCAGGGCCCACAGACCAGGGCCCACAGACCAGGGCCCACAGACCAGGGCCCACAGACCAGGGCCCACAGACCAGGGCCCACAGACCAGTGTTAGTATTAGATAGCAATATGGATCGCGTCTTAAATTCAGACAGAAGACATGTTTTATTGTCGATGGTAGAGACAGCACGAACAACAGACACAACAGAATGCAAGTGTATTATACAGAGCGTTGGCATGGAGACCTCCAATCAGCAGCTGCCACAGTGCCATGTAGCTTGGCCTTCAGATAGACACAACAAGGGAAAAGTACTGGCTTCTGCACATTGATAGAATGATGAGTTTAACTTTAACAAAAGTTGCTTCAAAGTGTTATGAAATCTCATATTCCCCCCTCTATTCTGTCTGAGAGAAAGAAACAGAGTAAAGGCAGTACACAGTTTATATAGTCATTGTCACGTCACACATGGAAAGACATACGTGTCACACAGAGACAGTCACATCATAGTCATAACATGGAGTCCTTGTAGAGTCCTTGTACAGTCCTGCACGTAGGCCATATTGCTATCTAATACTAACACCAGGGCCCACAGACCAGGGCCCAAAGACCACGGAGCCTAGATCTCTCTGGTCTCTCTCTGGTCTCTCCCTGGTCTCTTTCTGGTCTCTCTCTGGTCTCTCTCTGGTCCCTCTCTCTGGTCTCTCTCTGGTCTCTCTCTGGTCTCTCTCTGGTCTCTCTCTGGTCTCTCTCTGGTCTCTCTCTGGTCTCTCTCTGGTCTCTCTCTGGTCTCTCTCTGGTCCCTCTCTCTTGTCTCTCACTGGTTTTTCTCTTGTCTCTCTATGGTCTCTCTGGTCCCTCTTTTTTCTTTCTCTGGTCCCTCTCTCTAGTCGGGGTCCAGCCTGGGTCCAGCCGGGGTCCAGCCGGGGTCCAGTTTGGGTCCAGTCAGGGTCCAGCCTGGGTCCAGCCGGGGTCCAGCCGGGGTCCAGTTTGGGTCCAGCTGGGGTCCAGCCGGGGTCCAGTTTGGGTCCAGCTGGGGTCCAGCCGGGGTCCAGTTTGGGTCCAGCTGGGGTCCAGAGGCCTCCTCCAGGGCTGTGTGCCTCATTGCTCTCTGACGCCTTCATTCCGCTCGGCGGTGTCACACTCTTAAAGGTCCCATGTTTCGCTTTTAGACATTTCATTAAGCTATATTCCCAGAATAGGTTTTTAATGGATTCAGTCAGAGATGGATCCTTCTCTTTCATCCAGAGGCTCACTGACGTATCGAGGTCCACGTCGGTAAAGTGAGTATGGCTAACTCGACAGCTAGCTTACAGCTGTTGATATATGAGTGTTACACCGTGTAGAGCCCTGCACGGGCCTATTATCTGGGCCCGAGCCCGGCCCTGGCCCGAGGGGGTGGCGCCCCGGCCCTGGCCCGAGGGGGTGGCGCCCCGGCCCGGCCCGGTCCGACAGGTTTTCACAATTCTCAGGCTCGAACCTGTATCAAGCCTGATTTCATTTTCATTACCTCCCACAACAATGTTTTAGGGTAGTATATGTGTAGTGCTGCTGAACACAGGCGCAGGACACAGGGTACTGATGTGTTCTGTGTGTACGAGAGAACGGCTGCAGCTGTATGATACACAGCTGTATGACACACAGCTGTATGATACACAGGTGCTGCAGTAATCTACGACACAGGGTGTCTGTCAGCGCAGTCGTGTGGAGCAGAGCTTTTTAGTCGATGGTCATGTTCGGAGCGTCCTGTGAAGCCGTTTTTAGAGAGGTAAAAAGATACGTATATTAGCATTAAATAATTCTTTTCTTCTGGGTCCGCCCCCGCAGGCCCGGGGTGGTATTGCAGCATGTCAGTGTAACCCACGTCTCTGGCGCACTTAATAATCCATTCCTTGTCTCGCCATCAGTGGCGCTATAGTTAAAATGGCTGACCCCAGAACACCGGCAGCCCACTTCCTGTTTCCAGAACCGCGGCTGAGCTCTTCACGAACTCCACACAGAACTACTAGAAAACTAAACAGAAAATTCTCGAACTCGACGGTGAGTGAATTATGCTTATACTCAACAGAACTCAATAATCAGATCATGTGAAACCGCATTCTAAAAAGTTATATTGTGATATTTGTTACTTCCGGGTTTACCGCGAGCGCAGTTTCTCGTTTTCAAACTCTATTTTTTTCATGAAAACGATTACAAATGATTCTGAAACCGTCCGTGCATGTGTTTAAAGAATGTCTGAACTGTGTTGTCCGATTTACATTTGGATGTATTGTCTGTGTTTGTGATTGAAACTGATAAAATGTAATGCATTAATATTATTATATTATTATTAACCTCTTAAACTCCTACATCTGTTTTGGCTCGTGCACAAAAGTTTGGCATACCCAAAAGTCTTTTCTTATTTAAAAACACATCTTACATCTCACATGCTTGTGTGATGCATCATTTTAAAGCTAGGCCCTTCTAGTTTATGTAAATATACACTGAAATAATGTGTGTCATTCCTATTTTACTCTGCATCCTTTGAAGTTTGGGGGAAAAAAACTTTTTTTAGCCTCGCCTAAAAAATACAATGTATAAATGCCCTAAAAAAACCTACTTCATTGGAAGAAGAAAATGTTCAATGCTAATTTGTTCAATGTGTCGTTGACAACAACTGTGTAAAGTTTCAGACTTCTAAGTTTTATAGTTTTTATGCAGTTTCTCTTTTTTATCAAGTAGTGCCATTCGGAACCAATTTGGCAAAATGTGTGCCAAATTGTGCCAAACTGCTTTACTAACATTTCACCATCATAAAAAGCATATTTTTTAGTTTTGGTACTTATAAGTTACAAATCTGTGTGATTTTCTTTTACTTTTTTTCAACATTATTTTTTTTGTAGTGTAAATGCATATAAAATATGCGCAGCAGTATTAACAGCGTCTTTACGCACGCTTTTACTGTGAAAATGAAAAGAGTTCCTACAAGTCCCACCCATCAAAAGAAAGCTCTTTTTATTGGCTACTTAGACACGTCAATCATTCAGTGCTAGCACATTGCGCTAGCCATGCTATTCAACAACAAGGGAAAAAGGACCCTGTGCAAGTGGATGCGGTTTGTCTTTTTCACAGGGGTCCTGCGGACTGAAACCTGCTCCTATCTTTTCATGGAACCTCTCTTTTTGAAGCTAAGGACTCAAGGAACACGAGGATATGATGTTTGTGGGTAAACAAAGCTCAAACTTGGGGAAATGTGAAAGAGAAGCCTGAACATTTTTCAGAGCGTTTTTTTTGCAACAGAAAAATGCACATTTTTGGATTATTTCTGAAGAATGGATTATACTTTGGGAAATATAAGTATACAAATACAAGACTCTCAGTAAGTCTTCTTTTTCACTGAAGACTTACGGAGAGAAAGAGACTGAGCAAGGACGGGGAAAGTCTAATTTGTCGGAGCAGCAGAAGACGAAAGGTAAGAAACTTATACAAACACGATTTATTTTGTGCCCATATTATGCGTTATATCTTTTTAATGTAAAGTCTGATATCGTTTACACTTACATATAAATATAGCTGAGAAAATAAGCTTTAAAATGATATATAGCTTGTGGCTTATAAAGTTCAAAGTTTTTCTCGTTTGCCCCCGCCGGCGGGGGCTCAAGAGCTTATTAGTAACTGAAGTACTGCTTAGAATGATTTTATTTAGTACAGAAATAATTAAACTATTTATTTATGGTCAGGTTTTTCCCTGAACATTATTCCTCGTAAGAGCTGAGCCCTAAACGAACCAACAAACTGGTAGGACCTCTTTATATTTTTCCAACGTTTGCCCGAACAAGAGGACACCTTTATTTGGATTATACTTTTTCTTGCTTCCACACGGATTAAAATTTCTTTGAACTTTGTTTTTGAACTGAACGAAGTACTTCAACCTAAAGTACTAAAAACTAAACTGAAACTCTGCTTTCAAAGCAAAAAGCGGACCAGAACTCGAACCATAAAGGTTTAAGGGTTTTTTGTTTTGTGTCAACTTTTTTCCCTTTTATTGGTCTTTTTATTTCCTGTGTTGTTTATGTCCAAAGGTCTTTTTTTTTTCTGACAACATTTTTGTCAATACAAATTATTATTTATACAGTTACACAAGCTCTCATACAGCTCTCATACAGCTCTCGTACAGCTCTCGTACAGCTCTCATACAGCTCTCATACAGCTCTCATACAGCTCTCATACAGCTCATACAGCTCTCATACAGCTCTCGTACAGCTCTCGTACAGCTCTCGTACAGCTCTCGTACAGCTCTCGTACAGCTCTCGTACAGCTCTCGTACAGCTCTCGTACAGCTCTCATACAGCTCTCATACAGCTCTCATACAGCTCTCATACAGCTCTCATACAGCTCTCAGACAGCTCTCATACAGCTCTCATACAGCTCTCATACAGCTCTCATACAGCTCTCATACAGCTCTCGTACAGCTCTCATACAGCTCATACAGCTCTCGTACAGCTCTCGTACAGCTCTCGTACAGCTCTCGTACAGCTCTCGTACAGCTCTCGTACAGCTCATACAGCTCTGATACAGCTCTCAGACAGCTCTCATACAGCTCTCAGACAGCTCTCATACAGCTCTCGTACAGCTCTCGTACAGCTCTCATACAGCTCATACAGCTCTCGTACAGCTCTCAGACAGCTCTCAGACAGCTCTCATACAGCTCTCATACAGCTCTCGTACAGCTCTCGTACAGCTCTCGTACAGCTCTCGTACAGCTCTCGTACAGCTCTCATACAGCTCATACAGCTCTCAGACAGCTCTCAGACAGCTCTCATACAGCTCTCGTACAGCTCTCGTACAGCTCTCGTACAGCTCTCGTACAGCTCTCATACAGCTCTCATACAGCTCTCATACAGCTCTCAGACAGCTCTCATACAGCTCTCATACAGCTCTCATACAGCTCTCATACAGCTCTCATACAGCTCTCGTACAGCTCTCATACAGCTCATACAGCTCTCGTACAGCTCTCGTACAGCTCTCGTACAGCTCTCGTACAGCTCTCGTACAGCTCATACAGCTCTCATACAGCTCTCAGACAGCTCTCATACAGCTCTCAGACAGCTCTCATACAGCTCTCGTACAGCTCTCGTACAGCTCTCATACAGCTCATACAGCTCTCGTACAGCTCTCAGACAGCTCTCAGACAGCTCTCATACAGCTCTCATACAGCTCTCATACAGCTCTCATACAGCTCTCATACAGCTCTCAGACAGCTCTCATACAGCTCTCATACAGCTCTCATACAGCTCTCATACAGCTCTCATACAGCTCTCGTACAGCTCTCATACAGCTCATACAGCTCTCGTACAGCTCTCGTACAGCTCTCGTACAGCTCTCGTACAGCTCTCGTACAGCTCTCGTACAGCTCATACAGCTCTCATACAGCTCTCAGACAGCTCTCATACAGCTCTCATACAGCTCTCATACAGCTCTCATACAGCTCTCATACAGCTCTCATACAGCTCTCATACAGCTCTCATACAGCTCTCATACAGCTCTCGTACAGCTCTCATACAGCTCATACAGCTCTCGTACAGCTCTCGTACAGCTCTCGTACAGCTCTCGTACAGCTCTCGTACAGCTCTCGTACAGCTCTCGTACAGCTCTCGTACAGCTCTCATACAGCTCTCATACAGCTCTCATACAGCTCTCATACAGCTCTCATACAGCTCTCATACAGCTCTCATACAGCTCTCATACAGCTCTCATACAGCTCTCATACAGCTCTCGTACAGCTCTCGTACAGCTCTCAGACAGCTCTCAGACAGCTCTCAGACAGCTCTCATACAGCTCATACAGCTCATACAGCTCTCGTACAGCTCTCATACAGCTCTCGTACAGCTCTCGTACAGCTCTCGTACAGCTCTCATACAGCTCATACAGCTCATACAGCTCTCGTACAGCTCTCATACAGCTCTCGTACAGCTCTCGTACAGCTCTCGTACAGCTCTCGTACAGCTCTCATACAGCTCTCATACAGCTCATACAGCTCATACAGCTCTCGTACAGCTCTCATACAGCTCTCGTACAGCTCTCGTACAGCTCTCGTACAGCTCTCGTACAGCTCTCATACAGCTCATACAGCTCATACAGCTCTCGTACAGCTCTCATACAGCTCTCGTACAGCTCTCGTACAGCTCTCATACAGCTCATACAGCTCATACAGCTCTCGTACAGCTCTCGTACAGCTCTCGTACAGCTCTCGTACAGCTCTCGTACAGCTCTCATACAGCTCTCGTACAGCTCTCGTACAGCTCTCGTACAGCTCTCATACAGCTCTCGTACAGCTCTCGTACAGCTCTCGTACAGCTCTCATACAGCTCTCGTACAGCTCTCGTACAGCTCTCGTACAGCTCTCGTACAGCTCTCGTACAGCTCTCAGACAGCTCTCATACCGAATCTAGGTTTTTCTGTCAGTCATATTTACACCATTGCAATAACTATCCCTAACACTAAATAAGTACCTTCAGAGGAGAGACACCAGAGGAGAGACACCAGAGGAGAGACACCAGAGGAGAGACACCAGAGGAGAGACACCAGAGGAGAGACACCAGAGGAGAGACACCAGAGGAGAGACACCAGAGGAGAGACACCAGAGGAGAGACACCAGAGGAGAGACACCAGGGGGAGAGACACCAGAGGAGAGACACCAGGGGAGAGACACCAGGGGATAGGCACCAGAGGAGAGACACCAGGGTAGAGACACCAGGGGAGAGACACCAGAGGAGAGACACCAGAGGAGAGACACCAGAGGAGAGACACCAGAGGAGAGACACCAGGGGAGAGACACCAGAGGAGAGACACCAGAGGAGAGACACCAGAGGAGAGACACCAGGGGAGAGACACCAGGGGAGAGACACCAGAGGAGAGACACCAGGGGAGAGACACCAGAGGAGAGACACCAGGGGAGAGACACCAGGGGAGAGACACCAGAGGAGAGACACCAGAGGAGAGACACCAGAGGAGAG